GATCTTTGATCCAGCGGAAATCATATTGATAATATTTTGTTTGACAGAAATAGGTACCTCAAGCCTATTGGCACTTTCATTAGCCGACTTTTTCAATATTATATAACAAAAGGGGGAAGAGAAAATATGGCTTGTGTATCCAAATTTTTATAGCTCCCTCAATAGGGCTTGTAAGTAGGTCACCAAACTCACGCTTTCGTACTTGCCAGTTAGCGGTTATTTTTTTCAAACTATATGTGAATATTTTTATAAAATCTGTAAAATAAATTGCATAGAAAGGTTACTTCTGCTATTGTTAAGTTATTTAAAATCGTAAACAATTATATTGATAGCTTGAAGAAAATATAGCCTACATTAAATTGTGGTTTGTAAAGAAATTTTTCTCCATGACAATCTTACCTGTGAGAAGCAGTTTTAATGGGTTAGGGAGGGTGGGGCAGGGGGTGTTTATTCCATGACTATCTCACCTGAAAACAGTGCTATGGTGTGATGGACTGGTGGGTGGGGTGGTCCATAACAAACTTACCTGTGAATAGTACTTTTAAAGGTCTATGGAGGGTGGGGTGGGGGGGATGGTATTTGGGTATTTTTCTATGACAATCTTACTTGTGAATAGTAGTTTTAATAATCAATGGAGGGTGGGGGTGGGTGGGATGGTGCAGCGTTTTTTTTTCGCCATGACAATCTTACCTGTGAGTGTTACTTTTAAAAGACTATAGAGCGGGGACCGGTGGGTTGGGTTGGGGTGTTTGTGTCTTTGACAATCTTCCCTGTTACCACTACTCATATCGACCAATGCACTGGGCCGGGGATGGTGGCTAAACGGAATAAGTGAGGGGGGGGTCGTTCCATAACAATTTTACCTGTGAGCAGTACGCTATCGACCAATGAATAGTGGGACGGGTTGGGTGGGGCAGGGGGGTGGACCTTCCATGACAAATGAAAATAAAATAAAAGACCAATATGGCTGACTTGTGATCGGCTTACCACAAGCCCAGTGTCACTTAATCAATATAAAACACAGTGGTCGACCGGTTCGATTATATTTCGTTTATTTTTTTTTATATTTTTTATTATTATTGCATCCCAGTTATAATTTATGTGCGATGAAAAAAATAAAAGATTTGAAAATGTATAATACAATATCGACCACGATGTCGTTCTATTAGAATAAAATAATGTGTGCAATTAAAATTATGTTGGTTTCTACAGTTCTCTACACAGTCGTGACCATCTGTGTGATGTCGTGAACATCTGTTTGATGCGATGTTACGATTATATGTGTCACGAGATGTCGCGAAAATCTGTGTGATGTGATTTCACGAGCATCTGTGTGATTCTTAAACGTGCCACCTGAAGACGTGTCAATCTTTTTGTTTTCACATGTGTCGAGGTGTGAGTCGTTCAGAGAAAGAAAATAATTGTAATTAGTTGATTAATTAATTACTTCCCGTCCCTGCGCCATTTTTATGCAAGTATTCCGTGCCCGATGGCGATAAATTAAAGTGGGATTTAAATTTTCCCCAAAAGTGGCTCTTTGGATCTCACTATAAATTGCAAGCTTCACTTTAAACATCCGACCTGAGCCAAGATCTCACTAGTGTTTCTTTCATACTTTTTTCTAAGGGGGGGGGGGGTACTTGATATTTTCGGGGGGGGGAAGACTTTTTTGAAAAGATGCCTGGAAGAAACTCTGGATCTCACAGGCATTTTACCCCCCCCCCTCTCCGCCAATCCCCACCCTCACCTACCAGCACTACACCCCAACCACCCTCCGTAGGAAATATGTTTGTAATCTATTGTCTCTTGTCAGACATATTGCGTGCATTCTTCGTCACAAAGCTCATTTACGCATGCGCATCAATCTGAGCACTGCGTCACGCACACGTCATCACCTTAAGGAGCTTTATACGGTCTTGTAATTAATTTAAATAAAGAACATTGACCTCAATGGATGGCTTTTATATACATTTGTTTAACTTAATAATGTATGTAAAAATGTAATATTTTCAGGGTATGACAATCTGGGTGTAGTATTTTCATGGGTGTGACAAACGTATACATTATTTCCAGGGTATATCAATATAGGTGTAATATTTTCAGGGTATGACAATATGTGTGTAATATTCTCAGTGTATGACAATATGTGTGTAATATTCTCAGTGTATGACAATATGTGTGTAATATTCTCAGTGTATGACAATATGTGTGTAATATTCTCAGTGTATGACAATATGTGTGTAATATTCTCAGTGTATGACAATATGTGTGTAATATTCTCAGTGTATGACAATATGTGTGTAATATTCTCAGTGTATGACATTATGTGTGTAATATTTTCAGGAACGTGACAAACGTAATTAATATTTTCAGAGCTTATCAAGCGTATTGTTTATTTTCAGGGTATGACAAACGTATTTATTATTTTCAGGGTATGTCCATTTGTGTGTAATATTTTCAGGGACGTGACCAACGTATTTATTACTTTCAGGGTATGTCCATTTGTGTGTAATATTTTCAGGGACGTGACCAACGTATTTATTATTTTCAGGGTATGTCCATTTGTGTGTAATATTTTCAGGGACGTGACCAACGTATTTATTATTTTCAGGGTATGTCCATTTGTGTGTAATATTTTCAGGGTATGACAAACGTATTTATTATTTTCAGGGTATGTCCATTTGTGTGTAATATTTTCAGGGACGTGACCAACGTATTTATTATTTTCAGGGTATGTCCATTTGTGTGTAATATTTTCAGGGTATGACAAACGTATTTATTATTTTCAGGGTATGTCCATTTGTGTGTAATATTTTCAGGGTATGACAAACGTATTTATTATTTTCAGGGTATGTCCATTTGTGTGTAATATTTTCAGGGTATGACAAACGTATTTATTATTTTCAGGGTATGTCCATTTGTGTGTAATATTTTCAGGGACGTGACCAACGTATTTATTATTTTCAGGGTATGTCCATTTGTGTGTAATATTTTCAGGGTATGACAAACGTATTTATTATTTTCAGGGTATGTCCATTTGTGTGTAATATTTTCAGGGACGTGACCAACGTATTTATTATTTTCAGGGTATGTCCATTTGTGTGTAATATTTTCAGGGACGTGACCAACGTATTTATTATTTTCAGGGTATGTCCATTTGTGTGTAATATTTTCAGGGACGTGACCAACGTATTTATTATTTTCAGGGTATGTCCATTTGTGTGTAATATTTTCAGGGACGTGACCAACGTATTTATTATTTTCAGGGTATGTCCATTTGTGTGTAATATTTTCAGGGTATGACAAACGTATTTATTATTTTCAGGGTATGTCCATTTGTGTGTAATATTTTCAGGGACGTGACCAACGTATTTATTATTTTCAGGGTATGTCCATTTGTGTGTAATATTTTCAGGGTATGACAAACGTATTTATTATTTTCAGGGTATGTCCATTTGTGTGTAATATTTTCAGGGTATGACAAACGTATTTATTATTTTCAGGGTATGTCCATTTGTGTGTAATATTTTCAGGGACGTGACCAACGTATTTATTACTTTCAGGGTATGTCCATTTGTGTGTAATATTTTCAGGGACGTGACCAACGTATTTATTACTTTCAGGGTATGTCCATTTGTGTGTAATATTTTCAGGGACGTGACCAACGTATTTATTACTTTCAGGGTATGTCCATTTGTGTGTAATATTTTCAGGGACGTGACCAACGTATTTATTACTTTCAGGGTATGTCCATTTGTGTGTAATATTTTCAGGGACGTGACCAACGTATTTATTACTTTCAGGGTATGTCCATTTGTGTGTAATATTTTCAGGGACGTGACCAACGTATTTATTACTTTCAGGGTATGTCCATTTGTGTGTAATATTTTCAGGGACGTGACCAACGTATTTATTATTTTCAGGGTATGTCCATTTGTGTGTAATATTTTCAGGGACGTGACCAACGTATTTATTATTTTCAGGGTATGTCCATTTGTGTGTAATATTTTCAGGGACGTGACCAACGTATTTATTATTTTCAGGGTATGTCCATTTGTGTGTAATATTTTCAGGGACGTGACCAACGTATTTATTATTTTCAGGGTATGTCCATTTGTGTGTAATATTTTCAGGGTATGACAAACGTATTTATTATTTTCAGGGTATGTCCATTTGTGTGTAATATTTTCAGGGACGTGACCAACGTATTTATTATTTTCAGGGTATGTCCATTTGTGTGTAATATTTTCAGGGTATGACAAACGTATTTATTATTTTCAGGGTATGTCCATTTGTGTGTAATATTTTCAGGGTATGACAAACGTATTTATTATTTTCAGGGTATGTCCATTTGTGTGTAATATTTTCAGGGACGTGACCAACGTATTTATTACTTTCAGGGTATGTCCATTTGTGTGTAATATTTTCAGGGACGTGACCAACGTATTTATTACTTTCAGGGTATGTCCATTTGTGTGTAATATTTTCAGGGACGTGACCAACGTATTTATTACTTTCAGGGTATGTCCATTTGTGTGTAATATTTTCAGGGACGTGACCAACGTATTTATTACTTTCAGGGTATGTCCATTTGTGTGTAATATTTTCAGGGACGTGACCAACGTATTTATTACTTTCAGGGTATGTCCATTTGTGTGTAATATTTTCAGGGACGTGACCAACGTATTTATTACTTTCAGGGTATGTCCATTTGTGTGTAATATTTTCAGGGACGTGACCAACGTATTTATTACTTTCAGGGTATGTCCATTTGTGTGTAATATTTTCAGGGACGTGACCAACGTATTTATTACTTTCAGGGTATGTCCATTTGTGTGTAATATTTTCAGGGACGTGACCAACGTATTTATTACTTTCAGGGTATGTCCATTTGTGTGTAATATTTTCAGGGACGTGACCAACGTATTTATTACTTTCAGGGTATGTCCATTTGTGTGTAATATTTTCAGGGACGTGACCAACGTATTTATTATTTTCAGGGTATGTCCATAACTTCCACAAACCCGAGAACAAGGTGGTCATTGTCCACACACCAGAGTACAGCATCGGGCAATCAGACATGAGTAAGTTTGTCTGTCTGTCTGTTGTGTGCACTCGATGTCTGTCTAACACTCTGAGTTGATGTTCACAATCAACACACACAATGATAATCTAAACATAATCCAACTACTTTCAGTCCTCGTTCGCTAACAAGGTTCTCTCATTTCTCTTTCTTGTGAGGTTTTTTTTTTTATTTATTTACTGAGATCAATTCGGCTCAACTGAGGACGAATGCTGTTTGTCCAGGGTAAAAAAAAATTATAATTTCGAGAAAAATGAGTTTATAAATCTCATTCCTATATTAGAATAATCCAAAATATTAAACATTAAAACGTTAAAACATTAAAAAATTATTTGCATTATAATCTATACGAGCCGGCCCGCGGCATAACATACGCCGCTATTTAGTTGTTTCTAATTTTCAATAATTCATAATTTGTGAATTCGACAGTACCAACGCTGACACTGAAAATATTTCTTTAAAACACTATAAGTAGCTCGTTAAGGACCATAACCCCCCCATTCCTTCCCCCCCTTCCCCCCCCTTCCCCCCCTCTTCCCCCCCCCCACCCCCCACCCACTCCCCACCTACGTTTAAAATCGTTGGCTCTGCTTGTAAACATTTAGAGTGAACACAGCTCACTAAAACCATGTAGGGGTGGGGAGGTAGGGAAAGCGTTTGCAGCTTGTTTTCTAACGGCTCGAAGAAGAGAATTATATATATAGATATATATAATTCTCTTCTGGGAGACGCTAGAAAACAAGCTGTAAACGCGCTCCCTACCATCCCCACCCCTACATGGTCTTAGTGAGCTGTGGTTCACGCTATGTTTACCTTCGTGGAGTCGGGTTTAGTGACGGCTATTAGGGGCAGATAATTTAGTTTGAAACGATTTTAAACGTTGGGGGGGGGGGGGAGGAAGGGGGGGGGGGGTTATGGTCCTTAACGAGCTACTTATAGTGTTTTAAAGAAATGTTTTCAGTGTCAGCGTTGGTACTGTCGAATTCACAAATTATGAATTACTGAAAAGTAGAAAAAACAACAACTAAATAGCGGCGTATGTTATGCCGCGGGCCGGCTCGTTTTGTGAAATTTACCATAAGCCATAAGTGCTCCGGTACCTTGTATTAAGCCCATGCAAGTGGAGAGTTCTATAAAACTTAATAGTGGCCATTTTGGTCAGAATTTTGTCTGGTTTTTGTTTTAACCCCTGCCTGTATAGTCCTGGTTTGGGATATTATTGTCCTGGTCCTTGTTTGGGATATAATAGTCCTGGTCCTTGTTTGGGATATAATAGTCCTGGTCCTTGTTTGGGATATAATAGTCCTGGTCCTTGTTTGGGATATAATAGTCCTGGTCCTTGTTTGGGATATAATAGTCCTGGTCCTTGTTTGGGATATAATAGTCCTGGTCCTTGTTTGGGATATAATAGTCCTGGTCCTTGTTTGGGATATAATAGTCCTGGTCCTTGTTTGGGATATAATAGTCCTGGTCCTTGTTTGGGATATAATAGTCCTGGTCCTTGTTTGGGATATAATAGTCCTGGTCCTTGTTTGGGATATAATAGTCCTGGTCCTTGTTTGGGATATAATAGTCCTGGTCCTTGTTTGGGATATAATAGTCCTGGTCCTTGTTTGGGATATAATAGTCTTGGTCCTTGTTTGGGATATAATAGTCCTGGTCCTTGTTTGGGATATAATAGTCTTGGTCCTTGTTTGGGATATAATAGTCTTGGTCCTTGTTTGGGATATAATAGTCTTGGTCCTTGTTTGGGATATAATAGTCTTGGTCCTTGTTTGGGATATAATAGTCCTGGTCCTTGTTTGGGATATAATAGTCTTGGTCCTTGTTTGGGATATAATAGTCTTGGTCCTTGTTTGGGATATAATAGTCCTGGTCCTTGTTTGGGATATAATAGTCCTGGTCCTTGTTTGGGATATAATAGTCCTGGTCCTTGTTTGGGATATAATAGTCCTGGTCCTTGTTTGGGATATAATAGTCCTGGTCCTTGTTTGGGATATAATAGTCCTGGTCCTTGTTTGGGATATAATAGTCCTGGTCCTTGTTTGGGATATAATAGTCTTGGTCCTTGTTTGGGATATAATAGTCCTGGTCCTTGTTTGGGAAATAATAGTCCTGGTCCTTGTTTGGGATATAATAGTCTTGGTCCTTGTTTGGGATATAATAGTCTTGGTCCTTGTTTGGGATATAATAGTCTTGGTCCTTGTTTGGGATAAAATTGTCTTGGTCCTTGTTTGGGATATAATAGTCTTGGTCCTTGTTTGGGATATAATAGTCTTGGTCCTTGTTTGGGATATAATAGTCTTGGTCCTTGTTTGGGATAAAATAGTCTTGGTCCTTGTTTGGGATATAATAGTCTTGGTCCTTGTTTGGGATATAATAGTCTTGGTCCTTGTTTGGGATATAATAGTCTTGGTCCTTGTTTGGGATATAATAGTCTTGGTCCTTGTTTGGGATATAATAGTCCTGGTCCTTGTTTGGGATATAATAGTCCTGGTCCTTGTTTGGGATATAATAGTCTTGGTCCTTGTTTGGGATATAATAGTCTTGGTCCTGGATGTAACAGTCCTGGTTTGAGGGCGAATACACTGTACCATCATACAGACGTGAACATGAAGAGGCTTTATGACACAGACAACCTTTCTCTAAGTCCACAAAACTGCGAGAATCTGGTCTCCTTACACAACTGGGCAAAAACTTACTACAGTCTTGTACCACATTGGACAGTCAATATAATTGCGGCGTTGGCAAAGTCTATAATGTCGCATTGATGCCAGATGTTTTAATATTTATCAGGAATATCGCTACGTTAATGTTAAAAGTCATAATATAACATTGATGTTGTGTACCGTAATGCTATGGTTAATGTGAGATGTATTCCAGGTCCGAGCAAGATTGAAGAGTCCATCCAGGAAGCAAACGCCAAGACCGAGATGATAAAGTCCAAGTTTGTTGAGAAGATGAGTGAATTAGGGGTAGGTTTCCTAATGGTCAGCTTGGCTATATATACCCACCCCACCTTCAAATATGAGTGAATTAGGGGTAGGTTTTCTAAGGGTGAGCTTGGCTATATATACCCACCCCCACCTTCAAATATGAGTTAATTAGGGGTAGGTTTTCTAATGGTGAGCTTGGCTATATATACCCACCCCACCTTCAAATATGAGTGAATTAGGGGTAGGTTTTCTAAGGGTGAGCTTGGCTATATATACCCACCCCCACCTTCAAATATGAGTGAATTAGGGGTAGGTTTTCTAATGGTGAGCTTGGCTATATATACCCACCCCCACCTTCAAATATGAGTGAATTAGGGGTAGGTTTTCTAAGGGTGAGCTTGGCTATATATACCCACCCCCACCTTCAAAGATGAGTGAATTAGGGGTAGGTTCGCTAATGGTCAGCTTGGCTATGTATACCCTCACCCCCGACTCCAAAGATAAGTGAATTAGGGGTAGGTTTTTTAATGGTCAACTTAGCTATATATACCCTCACCCCACCCCACCTCCAAAGACGAGTGAATTAAGGGTAGGTTTTCTAATGGTCAGCTTGGCTATATATACCCTCACCCCACCCTACCTCCAAAGATGGGTGAATTATGGGTAGGTTTTCTAATGGTCAGCTTGACTATATATACCCCCACCTCCACCTTCAAAGATAAGTGAATTAGGGGTAGGTTGTGTAATGTTCAACTTGGACACTTGTGTATCATTACCCCCACCCCACCTTCAAAGATGAGTGAATGAGGGGTAGGTTGTGTAACTTGACTATGCGATCCTTATCCCACCTCCTAAGATGAGTGAGCTAAGGGTGGGCGATGTAATAATTCCTAAGTCCTCAACCCCACACATACACCCCCTACACACACAGCCTGCAAAAAATTATAAAGTAGAGGTATATGATGCAATATTTAACTGTAGTACGTGTGAACCTTTAACACCCACCTCCCACATACACCCAAAGCCACCCCACCCCTTCCCTAAGATGTTTGAACTATGGTTATGGGATGCAACGTTCCCATTAAGCCCTACCCAAGATGAGCCAGATAAGCCTACTAATTCTGTCTGCTCCTCTTGACATGGCCATTTATAATCCGCCCCCTCTTACATTCGGTCAGTATAATGGACAATCGCCGCCCCTTGTTGGGTACTGTTTTACTTGAATGTGTGTCTTCTACAGACAAGTTACTCTTGGCGTGCACACAAAAACTATGTAAGATATTAAAGATGCCGCTTATAACATTTCCTTAATCACGTGAGCCACATGGGAAATAAAGAAACGAAAACATTTCACATTAGACTTAGACACAAAATGTTATTACACAGCGATAACAGACAAATATTTTTTTTTTAATACAGACGCCAATGAATAACATTAGTTCCAGGTGTCGTGTAGGGAACTCCATCTGCCATGTTAGACATCTGTCGTTTTGGCATTTGCCAGAACTCCCGTATGGCTTCCCCCCCCCCCCCCCCCTCCTGACAAACCTTCAAGACAAAAAGTGAAAGACGCACAGAAGTATATTCTCCATGAGCAGTTTTCGATCACGTTTTTTACTTTCTCGTATATACGAAGTATAGAGAAAGTATTGTAATCGTGCAAAAAAAAAAAATCGAGATTTTTACAGATCTCGACGTTTTACACCTCACTGATACGGAAAAACATAATTTTGCAATCTTGTCCGTATGTCTGTGTGTGTGTGTGTGTGTCTGTCTGTGTGTCCGTGTGTAAACACGATAACTTGAGTACCGTTACAGCTAGGTTAATGAAATTTCATATATAAGTATTATATCAAAATCGTAGATCCGTATCAACTTTTGAGCGATTTCCGATAACCGGAAGTGGTACTTTTCCTACTTTGAATTTTTCAAAAGCCTATTACTTGAGCACTATTTCAGATAGATAAATGAAATTTCACATGTAAGTAAAAGATCTAATTCTCTACCTTCTGGTAAATTTTGAGTAATTTCCGTTGACTGGAAGTAGTAATTTACGCTACTTCCGATTTCTCAAAAAACTAATGTAAATTTTAAAAGTACTAATAATATTGCGCACTATTATGCGCTTTTTTATTGGGCGTTCACTTGGTGTGCAATTAATTTGTCTACGAGATTTTATTCTATTTTTAAAACTTTAAGTATTTAAAATGGATTAAAAATCATGTCTATAGCCCGAGTTCCCATCCCCTGTTATTTTATATAAGAATATTCGAGAAAGTTTAGGGGAGATCACTCCCGGTTTATTTTTTCCTTCTTTTACAATCACATCTCACAGTTAAGGCCGTCTTATCCATTAGGCACAATAAGTACAGTGCCGATTGCCTACGAACTTTTTAGGGCCTACGGAAGTCAGCAACGAATTACTGGAGAAAAACAAATGACGCAACCACCACCATTGCCTTTCCGATATAAACATCACACAATCTGGTGTACGTATCAGTGCCGCAATTGCCAGATGAGCCTGCGAATACAAAGTGACTAGGGCCTACGAATTATTTTAAAAGTGACTAGGGCCTACGAATACAAAAGTGACTAGGGCCTACGAATACAAAAGTGACTAGGGCCAACAAATACAAAAGTGACTAGGGCCTACAAATACAAAAGTGACTAGGGCCTACAAATACAAAAGTGACTAGGGTCTACAAATACAAAAGTGACTAGGGCCTACAAATACAAAAGTGACTAGGGCCTACGAATTATTACAAAAGTGACTAGGGCCTACAAATACAAAGTGACTAGGGCCTACGAATTATTTTAAAAGTGACTAGGGCCTACGAATACAAAAGTGACTAGGGCCTACAAATACAAAAGTGACTAGGGCCTACAAATACAAAAGTGACTAGGGCCTACAAATACAAAAGTGACTAGGGCCTACATATACAAAAGTGACTAGGGCCTACAATACAAAAGTGACTAGGGCCTACGAATTATTACAAAAGTGACTAGGGCCTACAAATACAAAGTGACTAGTGCCTACGAATTATTTTAAAAGTGACTAGGGCCTACGAATACAAAAGTGACTAGGGCCTACAAATACAAAAGTGACTAAGGCCTACAAATACAAAAGTGACTAGGGCCTACAAATACAAAAGTGACTAGGGCCTACAAATACAAAAGTGACTAGGGCCTACGAATACAAAAGTGACTAGGGCCTACAAATACAAAAGTGACTAGGGCCTACGAATACAAAAGTGACTAGGGCCTACTAATACAAAAGTGACTAGGGCCTACAAATACAAAAGTGACTAGGGCCTACGAATTATTACAAAAGTGACTAGGGCCTACAAATACAAAGTGACTAGTGCCTACGAATTATTTTAAAAGTGTCTAGGGCCTACGAATACAAAAGTGACTAGGGCCTACATATACAAAAGTGACTAGGGCCTACAAATACAAAAGTGACTAGGGCCTACAAATACAAAAGTGACTAGGGCCTACGAATACAAAAGTGACTAGGGCCTACAAATACAAAAGTGACTAGGGCCTACGAATACAAAAGTGACTAGGGCCTACTAATACAAAAGTGACTAGGGTCTACAAATACAAAAGTGACTAGGGCCTAAAAATACAAAAGTGACTAGGGCCTACGAATTAATACAAAAGTGACTATGGCCTACGAATACAAAAGTGACTAGGGCCTATTAATACAAAAGTGACTAGGGCCTACAAATACAAAGTGACTAGTGCCTACGAATTATTTTAAAAGTGTCTAGGGCCTACGAATACAAAAGTGACTAGGGCCTACATATACAAAAGTGACTAGGGCCTACAAATACAAAAGTGACTAGGGCCTACAAATACAAAAGTGACTAGGGCCTACGAATACAAAAGTGACTAGGGCCTACAAATACAAAAGTGACTAGGGCCTACGAATACAAAAGTGACTAGGGCCTACTAATACAAAAGTGACTAGGGTCTACAAATACAAAAGTGACTAGGGCCTAAAAATACAAAAGTGACTAGGGCCTACGAATTAATACAAAAGTGACTATGGCCTACGAATACAAAAGTGACTAGGGCCTATTAATACAAAAGTGACTAGGGCCTACAAATACAAAAGTGACTAGGGCCTACGAATTATTACATAAGTGACTAGGGCCTACTAATACCAAAGTGACTAGGGCCTACTAGTTATTACAAAAGTGCCTACAAAGACCATAAAACGGCCCTGCTCACAATGCTTATATAGTTGAGCCACAGTTTTTAATTATTTAAATGTGCATTGATAAAAATAACCAATAAAGACAACGGCATAGCGTACTGGTAAAAAAGCTTAAGCGCTAGACAATTTTTTGTATTCGAACCTGCTAATTAAATTATCGCCTTTAACTCCAACTTGTTGCTTTTTTCCAGATAGGTTTTTTTTTTCGTTTTTTTTTTTTTCCTAGATTGATTAATTTTTTTTTTCTTTCAATAACAACAGCAATAAAAAAAATAAACCGGTAGTGATCTCCCCTAAACTTTCTCGAATATTCTTATATAAAACAACAGGGGATGGTAACTGGGGATATAGTTATGATTTTTAATCCATTTTAAATACTTAAACTTTTAAAAATAGAATAGAATCTCATTAAAAAAACATTGCGCACCAAGCAAACGCCGAATAAAAACGCGTATAATAGTGCGCAATATTATTAGTACTTTAAAAATTTACATTAGTTTTTTGAGAAATCGGAAGTAGCGTAAATTACTACTTCCAGTCAACGGAAATTACTCAAAATTTAACAGAAGGTAGAGAATTAGATTTTTTACTTACATGTGAAATTTCATTTATCTATCTGAAATAGTACTCAAGTTATAGGCTTTTGAAAAATTCAAAGTAGGAAAAGTACCACTTCCGGTTATCGGAAATCGCTCAAAAGTTGATACGGATCTACGATTTTGATAAAATACTTATATATGAAATTTCATCAACCTAGCTGTAACGGTACTCAAGTTATCGTGTTTACACACGGACAGACACACACACAGACAGACACACACACACACACAGACATACGGACAAGATTGCAAAATTATGTTTTTCCGTATCAGTGAGGTGTAAAACGTCGAGATTTGTTAAAATCTCGATTTTTTTACTTTCTCGTATATACGAAGTATAGAGAAAGTCTTGTAATCGTGCAAAAAAAAAAAATCGAGATTTTTACAAATCTCGACGTTTCACACCTCACTGATACGGAAAAACATAATTTTGCAATCTTGTCCGTATGTCTGTGTGTCTGTCTGTGTGTCTGTGTGTCTGTGTGTCTGTCTGTCCGTGTGTAAACACGATAACTTGAGAACCGTTACAGCTAGGTTGATGAAATTTCATATATAAATATTTTATCAAAATCGTAGATCCGTATCAACTTTTGAGCGATTTCCGATAACCGGAAGTGGTACTTTTCCTACTTTGAATTTTTCAAAAGCCTATAACTTGAGTACTATTTCAGATAGATAAATGAAATTTCATATGTAAGTAAAAGATCTAATTCTCTACCTTCTATCAAATTTTGAGTCATTTCCGTTGACTGGAAGTAGTACTTTACGCTACTTCCGATTTCTCAAAAAACTAATGTAAATTTTAAAAGTAATAATAATATTGCGCACCATTATGCGCTTTTTTATTTGGCGTTCACTTGGTGTGCAATTAATTTGTCTACGAGATTTTATTCTATTTTTAAAACTTTAAGTATTTAAAATGGATTAAAAATCATGTCTATAGCCCGAGTTCCCATCCCCTGTTATTTTATATAAGAATATTCGAGAAAGTTTAGGGGAGATCACTCCCGGTTTATTTTTTTGCACGATTACAATACTTTCTCTATACTACGTATATACGAGAAAGTAAAAACGGGTGGTTTTATGTTTCGTTGTTGATCAGTGCAATGTTGTGTTAAGCTCCTAATCGATGACCCGTGTTCGAATCGTTATCAGGGAGGGGAGGGGTGGACTAAAGAGAGCTTTTGTCAACTACGGTGTTGATTGATAAAACACAAAGTACGTAGTTTAAATGATAATATGGGCGATTCTAAGCTTGATGAGAGAGCTGTTGTGTTGTTCTTGCTGTTATTTTATTTTTATTTTGTGTTTGTTTTTGTGATATCGTTAAAACATAACATTAAACTTGGCTATAACTATTAGTAGCCCTAGTCCTAATCAGTGGCGTCACTAGGTCGGGTGTCACCCGGTGCGGTAACTCCCCTTACTATTTTGTTATATTAATTGGATAAAACATTGTTTGACATTTTAAGATGTTTTCGTCATGGTGTCGCCCTACTAAATAATGTCACTCAGTGAGGACCGCACCTTCCGCCCCCCCCCCCCCCCCCCCCGCCACAGCCTTGTGGCGCCAGGGTCCGTTTTCTGACCATTGTATACTCTGTTTCATAACAACAAAATGCAAAAAATATAGTTTGATTTTCTTTTTTGTTATTGTTGTTTTTTTTCTTTCTTTGAAGACTTAAAGACCTTTCATACCAACTCAAAACATGGATTTCGTTTCTGTCAATAATTTTTATAATAAAAATTTGAAAATAAGGCTCCGTTACATTTTTTCAATCCCCCTAATGCCCCCTATTTACCCTTCCCCACCAGAGTTTCTACCAGGCATCTATTCGGGGGGGGGGGGGCTAAGCCCCCCCGAAAAAATTTTACCGCCCCCCCCCCCCCGCCGAACGAAATGAAATTTATATAATTTATATAGAAAATATATACTTTTAACAGTGTCCGCCCGCCCGAAGAAAGTTTACCGCCCCCCCCCCCCCCCCCCGAAGATTTCAAGTGCCCCCCGGAGAAAAAAGTCTGGAAGAAACACTGTTCCCCACCCCTTTCCCACCAGCTTCTAGCATGTCACAAGAATCAGAAGCGTGGTTTTTTTTAGATTCAGAGATAATATATAATTCTAAATTACTGCTGAATTCAAAATGAATGCCCGTTTTGCCAGTTTTGGAAGATGAACGTAAGGTCTGTATTAAGTATTTTTAATTCGGTGTACTTATTAGGTAATGAATATTTACGTTCACCCTCCGGTGGGTGGAGGGAGTGATGACGTAGTGCGACACTTTCTTAAAATACCGTGGCATTACTTTATTTAAACAACGCCAATGCTAGCGGTGTTCTCCCCCCCCCCCCCCTTTACTCACACAACTAAACCATTAATTCTATCAAGAATTTAATTACCTAGGTCAGTAATTCTATCACGAATTTAATTAACCAGGCAATTAACTCTATCGCGAATGAATCCCTGGATTGATGATCCGGAGAGGTAATCAATTCCGATGACTATTATTCCGATAATTACAATATTTTTTAGATCAGTTCTTTCTGTCCATTTCCACCGGAATTCAAATCAGCAGACGTTACCAATGAAATCCAGGCATGAATGGTTGGATTTGACATAGCATCATCTCGTGCAGGGGCGTAGCGAGGGGGGGGGGGGGGGGCCGGGGGGTGCGGACCGCACCGGGTGACACCATTTAGGGGGGTGACACCAAGGCAAAAAATAGCAAAATATAGGGAGAAAAACTCAAGGGGGGGTGCAAATCGAAAACTCGAGGGGGGGGGGGTGCAAATCGAAAACTCGAGGGGGGGGGGTGCAAATCGAAAGTTTGAGGGGGGGGGGGGGGTGCAAATCGAAAATTTGAAAGTTTGTCCCTGGGAAGGGTCTCTATGCCTCTGGGGGGGGGGGGGGGTGACACCATTAAGTGCCGCACCGGGTGACACCCGACCTCGCTACGCCACTGATCTCGTGACAATAGTTCTGCTTGTCCGAATATTAAATGACAGTATGGGCTCGTCCATTAACTACGTCATATTCCTAGGAGGGGAGGGGGGAGGGCGCATGTTTGTGACGATGCTAGACGATGAGAAAGGGGGTGTGGCGACACATTTATTTTTAGAAAATAATGTTATAAACTGCATCTTAGCCGTTATTTCGCGTTTCTAAAAAAAAAATTATTTTTTTCATAAATTATATTTGATCAATATTCTCAATATTCGCCTAGCTTTGTTACATTTATCCAAGGCAGAAACCGCTATTTTTAGAAACAAAAATTTCAAATATTTTTTTTTAATTTGAGGGGAGGGATAATTTTTAGGGTGCAGACATGCTTATTAAGACGGTGTGTGATTATTACGGAGGGGGGAGATAAAAAATAATTTTTAAAAAGCTTGGCGTTGTTTATGGATTATACCTTTATGGACTAACATTGAATGGTAATTATTTTGATGTTCCAAATGAGATCTAATTACAGAGGTATTCTATTTTCTACCAGATGAACGGGGAGTTTGTTGCCCTGGATGACAAGGATCCCGGACACGGCATATGCAAATTTGCTGAACGAGTCAACGCTACGTTTATTGTCACAGGTTAGTTCACACACATTCTTCAACCAATACAGGCTAGTCCAAAATTATCCATTCGCGTAAATGGTCGGTCTGGATGCTATAAGTTATGGGGAAATAGAAGAACTTAGGGTCTGTGGGCTTAATAAGTGTCAGCCTTTTTTAATGTCCATTTTATATTCTGTCAGCCATATGTCTAGTCGGTCTTTAATATATCGGTCTTTTGTCCATGTCGGCTATTTTCCGTGTCGGCCTTTCGGGTGTCGGTATTTTGTCCTATACACATTGTAGCCCATATATTCAACAGTCTTAGACCTATACTGTACAAAATAACATACATTTCGTATTTCAATGTGTATTCCTGTGAAATCCGTAGTTGTGCAGTAAAACAAGTAAAATACATTTATACTTAATATTATTAGAATGACGTCGTGAAGAATAACGATGCATGGTTCAAATCTGAATCCAGCCCTCATGAAAGTTCTTAAGTTTAATTTTCTAGCTCACGTTTGCCTTTATCATGGGAATTAACTCTTTCATTCTATTTAAGTAATGTAGTAGTGTTAAATCCCCTTACAATGTAAATCGTACAAGATGTAACAATACATTTGTCGGAAGTCTAAATAATCAGGATACATCAAATGTATTATTATTTAAATTTGTTTGAGAATGCTCACATAATCAAAATACTTATATTTTTCACTTAATTAAGTTACTAACTTATCACAAGTTTAATCATTAAAAAATAATCCAATTTTATAATCTAAGTATCAGCTTTATATTTATAGAAATGTTTACAAAAGTTAAATCACTAATAGGTACATCACTATATCATCTCATTAATCATCATATTTAAACTCTAAATGTTATAGTAATTTATTCATACCATTGTTTCTTGTAAACTCCAGGCACCAGAGGTCTGGGTAAATTCCGTCGCACAATGCTGGGCAGTGTCAGTGACTACATCCTCCACCACTCCCATGTCCCTGTCCTCATCTGTAGGCTCAAGTACCTGGAGGACAAATACTGACCAGGCTGGTCCAACAGGCTGCAGGACCTTCAGAGGGACTGCTGGACACTAGATGATGCCTTCACATTAACAACTTTCCAAATGTTATAATGTCATGTTTGACTTGTATGTAGCCCATACACCCCCAGACTTGTTAATAATGTCAAGTATGGCTTGTATGTATCCAATATACACCAGACTGCCATGTTTTAAGCAGGCAGCATTGTCTGATGGACTTTTCAAAATGGCTTTACACAGTGTTTCTTTCAGACTAAATTTTCCGGGCAGCCGGTTGAAATTGTACAAGTTATAAATTTTCTAAATGAATTCTATTTTGTTCTAATCAATGCCTGAAAGAAACTCTGGTTTTATGGATGTGGTTAATGTTTTATTCAATTAAAGAATAATTAAGTAGTAGTTTATGCTAATAAAATAAAATCAATACATTTTATAACTACTTTTTAAATTTTTTAACTAAAACCAAAATAATTCCTTAACATCTGGTTGATTAAAAAATCTTTTGGGCTCACAAAAGGAATTATACAAAAACTTTAATTTAAGAAATTCTAACAGTTATTTTTTTAGACAACCAGATGTTTTTGTTTTTTATTCATTTTAAATAATGGTTTTGTAATTTCTTGGGATTTGATGTTTTTCATATAATATAGTGATTCACAAGAATTAATTTTTTAAACTTTTAATTTATTAATGACTAATAATTTTTTTTATTTGGAGATTTATTTTTTAAAGGACAAATTGGAAAAACAGAGACCAAAAAATTATCAATTAAAATAGTCAAACAAAATACAACATTATAGTGAAATTAACAATTTATTATTTTCCAACTAACACTGAAAGTGCCAAGCACAAGTGAAAAATAATCAACTTTGTGACATCTGATGATTTTACAGCTTGTAGTTGGTCAGTGACCATTATCTGTAAATACATTTCAAAAGTTATCCATAAAAAATCTGGATACTACAGGGTTTTTTCACTCATGCTATGGTTTCCATTAATCAAGAGAAAACTATTTGGTTTTTAATATCCATGTTTACAGTTTACTCAGGAAATCACAAAACTATATTTGGAAGACATGTTTGCATCATGCTTAGTCTATAAATGTTTGAGAATTTATTATTCTACAAGTCATTGTAGGATTTTTATTCAATATACTAACTAACTTGGTTTTAAAAAGTATCCTAATTTTTGTTGCTTTTTATGTATGTTTATTTTACATTTATTTTCACTTGGTATGAAAGGCATTGTATAGTTTTCTTATTGTGAATGTCTGAAAAAAATACAACTTTTGTGTTGTGTTGGTAGAAGAAAGAGAATGTACAATTTATGTTGTGCATGTTATTTTACTAAATGTTTCACTTTTTTATGTATTGATATACAATGCCCATGGGACTACAAACTTACTACTGTAAATATATTCCATTTGATTGTCAACATTTCAAGTTTCTAAATGATGTCAGGAACTATTGGTAAATCTATGCTAAATAAGATATGAGAAATATTTTCTAAAATAATTCATTTAAGCAATCTATTCATGTTTTTGTTTTAATATGAATAATATTTAGCAATAAATAATTTGTGCTTTTGCAATCTATAATAATACTGCATGGGCTGTGAAAAAAAACTTGACACATATAGAATTTTATAAGATTTTAAGTTATTTTAAGTAAATAAAAAAAAACCAGTTTGTATTTTAAAGTTGAGACAGATATCTGTAAAGCCAAAGATTATTAATTCTATACATATTACATTTAACTATTCTTTTAACGCTAACAAAGTTAGTGTTTTAGGCTTAGCGTCTTAAATTATCGGCTAGCGAATATTAAGGGAACAGTATTTAAAGTTTTATATTTTAGTGATATTCTGTGTTGTAAAAGCTTCAGTAAAACAACACAATTTTTACTCAGTGTCAAGTTTTAAACCGTAATGCAGGCATACAACTTTGCTTCTAAAAAATTTTAACTGTTTCTGAACCACTGGTTTTAAACCAATGAGTTATTGGAAATAATGTAAACTTAATGCAACGGTGGCATGAGTATTTAACTAATATTCAAAACATAAAAAAACTTTTAAATAGGTCTAATGTAAACTTTGAACTTACTTAAAAAAATTGATTCACCAATTACTGCATTCCGAATACGAAAGCCAGCAATGTATGTAAATGCAATATTTCAATGACCACATTATTGTCATTTGATTTACTTGTTTTAATATTAATTATGTAAATGTATGTAAATGCAACTATTTCAATGACTTCACATTATTGTCATTTGATTTACTTGTTTTAATATTAATTGCACATGGAGATTAAACCTGCACTACTATTTTGATGTTCTTGTTTTTTCTGTTGTTTATGTTCATTAAAAAACTTTAATATATTATTACGCATATTATTAAATGCAGCTTCTTTCTTATTTTTACAAAAAGTAAAGTACCTTTACGAGACCTATCAGTCTAAAGCACAGATGAAGTAGAGTTTGTCTGATTCTGTTGCTAATTTTTTAGAAGAAAAAGTGTTTTTACTTTTCTCCTTCTTATCCAAAAAAATATGTTAGTTTTGGACTGGTAGATTAGGCCTACAGACTGTTTAAATGATGAAAGTTAAATTATGAAGAAACAATACGAAGTAATATATTCCCCAGAGTCTAACAGCCCAAAAACTAAGATTTTATAGCGAGTTATAGTTCATGCCTCACTGTTAAATAACAACAAAAACAAAAAATGTAAACTTTAAATGGCTATATATACACAATTTTATACTAATTATATAAAAAAAAAAAATTTAACATATTATGGCATAAAATGTTAAGAAACAACATTATTTACATATTGACAAATAAGAATGGGGTACATATAATTACAATGATCACAGTCAGTATGTGGAAACATCAAAAACAAGTCAGCTAGATTTTTTTTAAAAACTACATTAACTATGGAATTTACAAAAATCATGTTGTATCATCAAATACAATAATGCCCTTTAATTTTTAAGATCTACAATGATTGTTAATTGCACAAAAACTTAAAATTTACTGAAAATCTAGAAAACGCACAAGAGGCTTAGGAAGCCGCAGCTGTGATGTGTACCTCAAACGTTGGGGACCCAGACTTGCTCGGATAGTCAGCCTACAGTAGTGTTTCAGGGACCGGGGTATACCTGCAATACAGTTTCTTGTTAGCTAATTTTTTTTTACAAATTTAAATGTTAAAATATTTTTAGATAATGAAATGAAAAATGGCTTTCTTAATGTTAATGGCAAGAAGACAGGGTAAGAAATTCAGCTCAAATTCTATAACAATATTTTGAAATAGAAATAAAATGTATAAATGTACCAAAAAAGAATAATAAGTAGGCCTACTTTAAAAAATTTACAAAATTACAAGAAAGTTAAATTTATGAACAATCAATTGTCATTGAAATCTAAGTAGCAAATAAAGTAGCTGCAAAATTTAGAACAAAAAAATAACAAATTAATTGAAAGTAGGCTCCTATATCTACTTTCTAATCTTGCATCTATGTTTAATTCTTGATGTCATCACATTTTTTTCCAAATCTTAATTTGTGAATTAAAAATACAATATATTACTAAGGACTTACTTTCCTTAATTATGAGATGAAAATTTAAAATAAAACAAGATATTACTAAGGACTTACTTTCCTTAATTAGGAGATGAAGATATAAAATAAAACAAAGATATTACTAAGGACTTATTTTCCTTAATTAGGAGATGAAGATATAAAATAAAACAAAGATATTACTAAGGACTTACTTTCCTTAATTAGGAGATGAAGATATAAAATAAAACAAAGATATTACTAAGGACTTACTTTCCTTAATTAGGAGATGAAGATATAAAATAAAACAAAGATATTACTAAGGACTTACTTTCCTTAATTAGGAGATGAAGATATAAAATAAAACAAAGATATTACTAAGGACTTACTTTCCTTAATTAGGAGATGAAGATATAAAATAAAACAAAGATATTACTAAGGACTTACTTTCCTTAATTAGGAGATGAAGATATAAAATAAAACAAAGATATTACTAAGGACTTACTTTCCTTAATTATGAGATGAAAATTTATATTAAAGATATTACTAAGGACTTACTTTCCCTAATTATGAGATGAAAATTTGAAATAAAACAAAGATATTACAAAGGACTTACTTTCCCACTCCTGCAGTAAGGATTTACACTGGGACGTGCTGGAAGGAACCAGCTGCCTGGCAGTGTAGCCTTTACTGTTTTTTGTATAGACACAAGCACCATGCTCCAGCAACAACTCAACAAACTGGTGGTCCTGACTCCTGGCTGCTTCGTGAAGTGGTGTCTGGTAGATCTTGGATATATTAGCATTGGCTCCAGCCCTTAACAGAACCTCAGCACTTGTTTTATGCCCTTTAAAGCAATTCCTTTTTTCAAATTAGTTTTAGCTCTTTTTTTTAAAAAAAAAACCTATTGCATTTTAAAATATAACCTGAATACATTTTAATTTACAGTTTACAACAGTCTTTAAAAAAATGCTAAACAACTGCTAAATTCACTTTACAAAACTACTTTTTAAAAATTGAGATGTCACATTCTGACACTCCTCCATTCCATCACTAAAGTCTGACATCCTAACTCTCCCCTTATGAGGACATCATTTAATTTTAATACAAAAATCTCAAATTTGAATCTTTGTTTTTTTAATACAAACACTCAGATCATGTGAAAAACTTGTAATATGTGAGGCCTTATTCAGCTAAAGGAAAGTTAACAAATAAAAATAGGATCTATTTAGTAAAGTAAAGTTCCCTTTCAAACCTGACGGTCTATGGGGCAAGTGAAGTAGAGTTCACTTGTTTCTGTGACCTCGGCATATGAAGAGATAGTGTGGTCAGCACTATGCCCAGCCGCCTTTACTTTCCCTAACATGAGTTAGGTACCCATTGGAGTTGGATGGACTCAGGGACGGTCTACTGACTTAAACCCGGATTTGAACTCAAAGACTTATGGGTTAACAGTCCAGCTCTCTACCGCTAGACCACTCCGTCCCATGGGATCTATTTAACAAACATAAATTTTGAAAAAATAATTATCATAGTGTTAGATACCTTTACAAGCAGCAACATGGAGGGGTGTGCCGAAGTGGCAATCACTTTTGTCCATGGAGGCGCCATGCTTGAGGAGAACTAACAGACACTCCCAGTTATCTGTGAAGGCCAGAATATCATTACAGAGATATGAAACAAACAAATCACACATAAACAAAATCTATGGCAATAAATTTGGTTTTAAGTCACTATTATTTGTACACAATAAACTGGGATTGAACCTTTTAAAGCTACACTAAACAAACAAAATACATTTCCATTTCGTTAGCTGTATCCTACAATACAAGTCGGTGTCAAACTTTAACCCTTTAACCCTAAACCTAACTGTGTGTGAGGGCGACAGGAATCTGGTACACTCAGGTATACGTATACACCAACAACTCGTAGAGGTTAAGTACAACAGTCTGTTTAATCCAACGAATTTTCTTGTCCATTCACATATCAACCTGTTCCTTTCTACCTCAACCTTCAACTGTCCTAACCATCACTCCTACACACCTCCTTTCTCTCGCTCACAACACAACCGCTGTCACTCGACCTGTAGCTTTCTTTGTACCGTCGTTCACTCCCCACTACAACATACACGTCAACACACCCGGCCTCGCGTATCGCTACAGGATATAAACACACAAACAGTGATTCATCCCATGTATACATCTTTCATACACATTACATCACCACACTGTGGATAAAATCCAAAAGTGCCATGTATTTACATAATTACCCCTAAAGACAGCTTCATGAACTGGTGTTGAGAAAAGCAGGGGTGGGTTCACCAGAGCCCCATGCTCCAACAACAGCTCCACACACTTAACATTGCCATTACAGCAGGCATCACACAGGGCTGTGGCACCATCAATGTTGGCCAAGTTCACCTAGACATTGTTTTATAAATAACATTTTCAGACCTAAGTTGCAAGTTACAGCTATACCTAGTCACTATGATTAAATCATTTGAAACATCCTATCTGACTACTAACCCACAATCTATTACTATAATGTTGGTACAGCCTGTAAACCTTTTACTTTTCTTTTAAATATTTTCTCATGCAAAAATATATGCTTTTTTTTGTTAAGCATTCTCTCTAAGGAGCAAAAGTATTCCCTCTAAAAGGCCAAAGCATTCTCTCTAATTCTCTCTAAAGAGCCAAAGCATTCTCTCTAATTCTCTCTAAAGAGCCAAAGCATTCTCTCTAATTCTCCCTAAACAGCCAAACCATTCTCTCTAATTCTCCCTAAACAGCCAAAGCATTCCCTCTAAGAAGCCAAAGCATTTGTACAACATGTACTTTGTGTAACCTACTTGGTGTGCTAAAGTTAATTATATAAGGTCATTAGGATTGAATAAAATGACTATAACTATGGCAGGTTTACAACTAAATAGCCTAGCAACTGTGCATCTAAATCAATCACTATTACCTTGTGAGCTGAAATTTTTAGTTTACATACACTTATTGTTGTTTTTTTTTTTGTTAATGTAAACTGAAAATTTCAGCTAATACTAATTTAATAGGCATTTAGTTGTATAAAAAAATGCAACCTACATTAGCCCCATGTTGTATCAAAAGAGCAACACACTCTAAATTCCCAGCTAAACAAGCCTCATGCAATGGCCGAACCATCTCAAATGTTGCTTTATTGACATCATATTTCTTTGACTCCAAAAGTTTTTTCAAATCTTCAAGTCTGCCTTCTCTTGCAGCTCTATGGAGTGGATATTTGTCTTCTAAAAGTTCAACTGTAAAAAATCTCCTTTTATTATCATTGGTGATAATAAAAAAATTATTTGTATGTCTGTCTGTCTGTTTGTCTTTCATGCATTACTACATCTTTCATCTTATCGACATGAAACTTAGGGAAGTTGTTGAGAATACTCCTGGGGAAGTATTTGTGGAAAAAAAAAATTTCAAATTCGCAGGGTGTTGCCCCGGCAAGGCGCTATTTGATTCAAGTGCGTGACCTGAAGCGCCCAGGGTTCCACTTTGAGAACTATGGCTCCTACACTAAAGGCACGATGGGCAAAAATCGGTGAATCAGGCACGTGCTCCAGATTCCTGCAGGTTGCTATTTGTTCTCCCTGGACTTTCCCATGAGCGCTCTGGGGCATGCTAGATGGTACTGGTAGTGTGCCCCGACAAATATGATCCAAGAAATTTAACACAGGTATTGCTTACATTTAATTTTCATTTAAATAATTCAGTTTTAGAAAACAAGGTCACACATCTAAGATTCTAATTCTAAAAATTTCTTATTTAGAGGATTGGTAATGGCCGGTAACACTAACTGACGCAAACGCATTGATGAAACCCTCTAGCTAGAGCTAGATCTAGTTATTTATACAGTTATAATATATATAAAACATAGATCTATAATATAAAGTATAAAGGACATGAAGTATTGAAAAAAGCTAAGGATTTTTACAAAGGAATGACCGTGGCTGTGTTGCTGTGTGTGTGACGTGTTGTACAGTTCACTACTGAACTGTTGTGTTTGTTACTTTCAACCAAGAACCAAGTAAAAACAAAATACTAAATTTTAAATGGTAATCGCACCTGACATTGCAAAGGATTTTTTAAATATTAAAAACTGCGTCTCCACATGACACCGTACTGACTGTATACTGTAGATCTAGTTACTGGTAAGCTAAATTAGTTATGGTGGTAGTGTAAGTTTGTTTACAAACAAGATGTCGCCATTTTGTTTTTGGTAAGCCTAAGTACCAAAAAGCACAAAAAGAAGAAGAATAGGCCTACGTAGGATAGTAAGAAGAACACAGAAGTCAACTAATATTATTTACTAGATCTATACAAAATACAAAGATATTTAACAGAAAATATTTAGACAACATTTACTATTTCACTCCCCCCCCCCCCACCTCCTATTGAATGCAAAATGACAGCAGTCTCACATTAACCACTTGCAGTTGTCAAAAGACTGCTTGCATTGCTTTCTGTTTTTTATTGCCATATAATTACTATTTCAATTTCTCATAATCGTTGTAGAATGCACACACATGCATTTTATTGCACATCTCTAGTCTCTATTTTGTTAAGCAAGAATTCACCATTTTCAAATATGTCTATATTCCTGTTTTTCTGTCATCAATAATTAAAGAAACATCCTTTACACCCTTCTTATAGCATATCATACAGCTTTTACCCCAAATGATAAAAAAAAAAAAAAAAATTTTTAAAAAGAGGAAAACACAATGTTTCTCAACAACTTTTTATTTACATTAAACTACAATTTCTGGTGGGACAGAAAAAAGTTCTCTCATGCACAACTATTTTTACCACATGTGTCAACCTGTGATTTGAAAAATCTACAGAAGAATCTGTGCTGGGGAAAATTACAAAGATGTTCTATAAAAATATGAAACTCATGCTATAGCAAGAAACAAATGCCATATGTACAGTACATTGTTGAACACTATTAAAATGGTACTTCTTAAAACAGGCGGCTATAAGGCTATTCTATTTTGGCATTAACCCCATAACCCTGGTGAAACGTTTTACCCTAATCCTAACACTGCAATTACCCTAGCTCCAACCCCAGTCCCAACACTGCAGAAATACCAGAAAATACATCACATTATTACGATACTGTGTTATCCTGCCACTGTTATTCTAATAACCATTTAAATAATATAACAAATATTATAAATAATACACAAAGACACATAACTGATTCTGTAACTTAATTAATTAATGGTCTATAATAAATTCCTGAACATAGTGATTGACAAATATGATCGCCAAAAAAAAAAAAAGCCTTCCACTGCCTACACACTGTTAACATGTACTGATTCCTTCAAAATAATAAATTCCTGAACATAGTGATTGACAAATATGATCGCCAAAAAAAAAAAAAAAGCCTTCCACTGCCTACACACTGTTAACATGTACTGATTCCTTCAAAATAATCTGACATCTATAAAAGAAATGGTGTGTATTTAACGTTATTACTGTGCATATAGAAGTGCTAATTTTTATTATTAAAAAATTGGTACAAAAATATAGTAACATTTACACTGATTTATATTAAGCAATATAGTACAACAGAAAATAAATAAACACTTGAGCAAATAAAAATTCAAAGACAACATAAATCTGTAATTGAATAAATAAGAAAGACATCAGTCTTTATATCAATTTAGTAGTTTTTACTAATGTTAATAAATTGTTACCCCTTTAAAAAAAGACAATGTTAAAAACTACCTTAAAATCTACATCTTTCTAGTTACTAACCTTTATTTATAAATGCAGTGGAATTATTGCAAAACTTTCTAAATGATTAAATCAGAGAATATCTGAGTATTGGAATTAATTTTTTTCACAAGCAATTAAGAACTACTGATATGGGTGATGGACAAGAATATCATTTAAATGTGAAAGAACAAAAAATTGTATTACTTGTCTTTGCTGCTTTTTTTTTTGTCAAAGACTTTACTACTAATTCTATTTTTAACATATACTCTGACACCAGCTTTTCACCTCAAAGGATATCAATTTCATAGTGGAGTGAGTGACATCTTGATAAGATACTCAACAACGAATGTTATCTTTAATACTACAATATAGTCATAATTCTTTTGTAAACTTTCATGAAATTTTAACATTTTAGAGATGATGAAACTTTGCTTTCTTTAAATGTTAACTAATTGTATATTATCTATCAAGGAACATAAGATCTAGTTTTAGTTTGAATTTGAAGAAAGCAAAATACAAATAAAAATACAACCACAATGAAACACAAGTATATGTATATTTATACAATACTGATACTATATACCAAAACATGCATACAAACAAAGGCTAACATTCAATGTAGCTAACATTCTTAACTTTTAATTTTGGGAGGAATTGGTTTGAACTATAACAAAGTGATATCAGTAGAATCTCAACATTCAAATGTTCATTTACCTTACCCATTAAGTAAAATTTCATTTAAGTGATGTAATTTTGATAGAGCACAAAACAGTTTTAAGTAAATAATATATGAAAATTATTTTTTTTAAATTAAAAAAACTTACCGACATAGATTGATTGTACATACTGTGTGTTATTTAAGATAATGTAAAAATGTAAACATTTTTTTTATTAATCACTTTAAAAAACACAGGTAATTCAACAAATATGAAAAAAAATATTTTAAATGGTGAAATACAAATATTTGATACAATATTGTTTTAATTAAAAAATAGAACTGTAATAATACTTAACCTGAGTGGATTAAAATTTAATACAATAAATACAATTCTGTAAAAAGTCAGTGTTTTAGTTTAATAAGTCACTGACTGCTTTTAATTAATCAAAAGTAAGTAATATTATAAGCATCTTCGTAAAGAGGTAATCCCAACTTTACTTATACATTGAGAAACAAAAAAACAGAGATAAGCTCAACTTTAAAAAAAAAAAAATGTTACTTTCATACAAGAGAAATTATGTGATCAATATTGAACCACTCTTTAAAGGCTAATCTGACAAATGATATAGAAAATCTAATGCAAACACTAGGAATGAAAATTACAACAGTGGCCATAAAAAGATATTTTATTGTAAGTTTCATTTCATCACCTTACATTTCACCGGTACATATCTGGAAGTATAGTTGCAATTAAGCATTAACGAAAAAATAATATCTTAATTATAGGATTCAACAGAAAAATCATTGTCTTGTTTAGAATAAGAAAGGTTAAAAAATCCAATAATTCAAGTAAAAGTTAGAATTAAGGCCTTGGATGGATTAAAATAAAGAAATGCACATCATGACTAAGATGGAATGAGTGTTGATATTAATATTTATAAAACAACCCTCCCCTTCCAGATTGAAACTTCAATTAATTAAAGCTTAGCATCAGCAAATATTTAGTGATTGTATATTAACTATGTAAGTGATTCTATAGTTCAGATAAATTTGTGATGTATTATAAATTATAAGAGAAAAAAAAATTAAATAATTTAAATTAGAAAAAAGTGAAAAATATGGCAAAAGCAAAAAAGTCCATGTAAAAAAAAATGTCATAAAATGAGTAAAGTAAAATGAAATAAAAAATCATCCTACAGCCGAAAAATGTGATGAGAAACAATACATTTCATCAAATAGTACACATACGATAATGAATTTTGGACGATATTACAACAGGAATGTTATTTACAAAAAAAATGAGGGTACACTTAAATATGTGAGAACAGCTAAGTGCCAATTCATTTTCTGAAATGAAAATTGTAAAAAAAAAAATATCACGTACTATAATTGGTACAAATATATTCAAAAGTAGTGCTTATTTGTTCTGCCAGGTTAAGTTCATGAAAAATACATAGTCTCTCTTATATGCCATTGTTGGAACACTTACACTTTCTTTAATTTGTATAGCCCGTTAGAAATATTGTGCAGCTATTTGATTGGCTGCACCATAAGTAGCAGGACATTTAGAGGTGATTAAGCTACAAATGCTCATGTGGAACTGAACATTTAACAAATGATTTTCTTCTATAGCTATACCATGTGGGAGGGGTTGTGGTTAACGATTGTAACTATGTGGGACAAAGGGGTAAAATTATCTTTAAAATTTGCACATCATTAAACATTTCAAGGAATTACTTTATGAATTAAAAAGCAAAGTTTGTTTCTTTGTAACCTAGAAACAATAAATTTGGAATAAACATGAAATTGATGTCTATTTCAACAACATGGCTGGTTGAGTTTATACAGTCTGAACACAACTCAGACCTTGGAAATTTGGGGGAGTTGTTGTTTGGAATATGGAGACACAAGGTGCAAGTGTCCCACAAGCCAACTTTGTAATTAGTAATTAGAAATTGATAATAGAATAAGTAATCAAATTGCTTGTTAGAAAAGGCTATAGAAATATAGATGGGGAAAAAATATCAGGAAAGCTTTTCAGACTTTCACAAAAATGAAGTGTAGGAAAACTTTTTTTGCCAGTAAATTTCTTTAGAATGCAAAATAAATTATGAGTTAAACATCTTTAACTGCTTGTTAATGTACAGGATTGATAATATTATGCTCTAATTTAAAAATGTACAGAATGTTCTAAGATTATAACATATAAACTTAGAATTGTGCAAGATGTAAGAAATGTCTATGATTTATACAATTTAAAAAAAAACTTTAAAAACTTTTCTACTTTCATCAAAAATGCAATCAGAAACTAAATTTTAAAAACATCCCAATGAATACAACATCTTTCTCATATACTTGAATTTGAATACTTCTAATGACTAGCCTTTAAAAATCTCTGTATCAGGTGTAGATTACAAGTGCTGAGTAAACAAGTAACTGTCAATATAATCAAATTAAGCATAGAGATCATTAAAGATGCATTGATGTTATGGTAATCAAGTTGTAAACAAATAGAACAGAAAAGCAGGATCATTTCCTACAATCCTCAATTTCTATTTTTTTGTTTTTATGAGGTTTTTAAAATTGTTCTTGTTTTTAATGCACTTTCATATTTAAAGAAAGAAAAACGTAAATATATTATATGTAATAAACTTTAAATGAAATAGCTAATATAAAAGTTCATTTCTACTGCAAGGAACTAATCAGAATTATCAAGCTCAAAAGAACTGTTGTTTTCATCTCCACATATTTTTGTTTCAACATTCTGAGGAGAAAGTAGCACAGAATCCTCTCCTAAAAGGGTACACAGTTCTTTGAGTCTCTCCTGCATTTTGGGCATTCCAGCGAGTTGGTTTTCTAGTTTCTGTTTCTCTTCATTCAAGGTAAGGCGAGCATTTGTGTCTAGCTCTTCCATTCTCCATCCACCCTCCCCATCAAATTGCAGAAGATGAGAGTGGAATTTCCTAGTTAAAAAAAAACAACTTGTGAACATCCTAATAATTTTTTAAAAATGTAAATCTGTTGTTAAAATTTTGAACAAGTGAATGAACTGAGGTATGCCTACTTATACTTACCATAATGTTGGTCTGTGTGTTATGGTCAACAAAGTGATTCCTATTTCCTTCAAGCCAAGATATATTTTGCTTTCAACATCTATTGAGACGGCACTTGTACATTCATCCAGAAGGGCAAACTGGGGTCTAAAGTAAATTTATTTGTTAATTAAATAACAACACAAGCTAAAATTAAATCGAATAAGGTTTTTTTATATATTTAAAGTCTGAAAGATAAATATCTAATAATGTAGGTTAAAAGTGGTATAGTGGAGACACTATGGTATAGTGAAATGAGTTTATATTGCTTAATTTGAATAGTTTTTAAATTTAAAAATGGTCATATAAATATTCATGTTATCTTATCACTGTTTAAAATTAATTCAAATATGAGATACTTAAAAAACATTGAAATAACAGTTTAAAAAAGATTTATACTCTTTCAGTCAGGGAATTAATTTCATGTTCTGCTGGTATTATTTTTTTATGCAACAAAAACATGTGAAAATCAGTAAGGAAAACAAATATCTTGATCAGAGTATCTATTAAAAACTACGATTTGACAACCCAATAGTGTAAATACAGTTATTATTCAATGCTCAGAGTATTGCTATGGTAAAGTTGTCCTTAATGAGTTCAGTTAAAATAATATTATATTTAAAGGTAAATATTTTAAGTGTTTTAATAGTGATGTAGTTGTCATGGCTTACTTATGATAGAAGGTGCGAGCCATTCCCATTCTTTGCTTCTCACCACCAGACAAAACATCTTTCCAATCACATTCAGCTCCCCAGCCTGAAAATATAAAAATGTTTAGAGTATAAAGATTTTTAGTTGTTAGCAGAGTCCATTAAACCAATTTAGCATTGACAATATTTATGCAACAAGTGACTTCTAAACCTAAAGAATATGATAAACAATAAAACAATTGGAATTTTTTTTTTTACTTTTTTTAAGGATGTTTTTTTAATTGTATAACCAAATGTGTTGAATAATAAAATATGTGTTTAGTTGTGACTATCTAGAGATGGAACATATTTTGTTTGAGATGATCAAATAAATCATTCAGAAAGGGGTCTTAGACATTGATTTATTTGCAAGAATAAGTAAATAAATTTAAACCTACTTATAGTCAATTTTATGATTTTTATTAAAGTACATGATAAAACTGAAATACTAAGCCTCTAATAATAAATATGCTATTAACAACTTTTGTTTTTCAGCAAGATACTAGTCAGTTAAATTTGTATACAAACCTCCTTCCCTGTGAACAATGTTATCAAGGTGAACAATTTTCAGGATAGCCATTAGATCATCATCTGTAAAGCCTTTTGCTTTCATATCCTGGACAGAATCTGGATAAATTACCTGATCTCTCAGTGTTCCAATGGACATGTATGGTCTAGATTTAAGAACAGGCATAGTTAGTCAATGTGGTGACATATTATACAGTATGAAAATTGATGAATGATATAGAATTAGGAACATTTATAATTAGCATATTCTGTAGCATGTCTAGAAAAAAAAATCACAACAAGTATACATGTTCCGTAGGAAAAAATGTTTTCATATAACATCAACTTATTGCGTTTTCTTTTCTAGACATGTATTGTATACATGTCACAAGAGTAAACAATGTATTAGTAGAGCATCAATAATAAGATAATTGTAAAGCTTTGTATAGTATCAATTAAGTAAACATCATAAGAATTAAATTAAAATGATCAAGCAAAATGACTTCTCACCTCTGGGGTATATAGAACATGGATGAGGGTGGGGGCTTTAGTAGTTTCCCACCATACACAGGCCACAGTCCATTCAGGATGCGGAACAGAGATGATTTGCCACAACCATTGGGACCAGTGATCAGAAGATGCATACCTGGCTCAATCTAATCATTAGGGAAAAAATAATTGATTGTTTGTTAAACTTAACGCCTAAGCAGTTTCTTACAGAATTGGTTGAAGTCAAGGATAAGTAAAATTTACTGATGTCAAAAAATAAATACAACTTAAATTATAAAAGCATTTATTTACATATTTATAAAAGAGTACATACCAAATAATAAAAGTAGATTTTAAAAACAAACATTTCTAAAAATTTGTAATTCAAATCAAATAAATTCAAAATCAAAAACTACCTTTAAAGATAAAGATTGAACAATAATATCTCCATTAGGTGTTATTATTGGAAGGTCTTCAATGACGATAGTTGTTTGTGTATCAATAACAACACCTGAAATAAAAATTAATTTGATGTTTTATAGATCTAATAAACCTAATAACTGAATCACTTGTTTATCTAATAAAAGGATTGCTTAATTTCTAAAGTAATAGCCTATGCAGTTCTTAAATAATTTTTATAGATAAGGTTTTCTTAAAGGATATTGTTATCGCAATCATTTTCTTTGTGCTTTGTACCTTTCTGTACCAATGGACCAGCGATTCTCTCATGGGTAACCTTTGGTGTCTTCTGTTTTGTTACTGTATTTCTTTGATATTTTCCCATTTTGACATCTTCAAAAACTTCAAACATTTGAGAAACACGTGATGTGTAGCCAGCCAACTCTGTGATCTGTAACAATGATTACATAATTAATTCCAAAAGTTTTGGCTGCATTCCTGTTTGCCGATATTTTAAGCAACATCTATTACTATTGTTAGAAAGGTTTTCTTTTAAAACAGCTTACGTATTAGTATTTCACTAGTGAAATTTAATATATCATAACATTCTATGAATAACACACAGACATCATACTAATTTCAAACAAAGACAAACTATACATGACTAGTAACTCTTTCAGTGAATAGATGTACATGTAAATAAGTGATGTGGTGTTAAATCCGCGACGTACCTCCTTGTAGGATGACATCATTCTTTCAATGGCATCAGCTGAGCTAATGAGTAAATTTCGAGCTGTCGTGAAGTAACGAGTCCTTTCACTAACACCACCATCTACATCATCTTCTACACTAGACCCTAAAGAGGGTATCGACAAATTAAAATATTCTTAATCAAAATTTTATAGAGCAAAACCTACATGTAGAAAGACGATAAATGTACATATCTATTTGGCCTATAAAATAGATATTGGAAAAAGAAATGTACTTAGGATAATTACATTTCAAAACTATTTACAGGTAACAGATATCAAGTAGAAAACAATATTCAAGTAACAATGTTTACAACTAGCATTACCATCTTCTCTGATGCCAGTGGCAGTTATAATTGGAACAGCCACCATTACCAAGCCACTAGCACTCCAAACATACTTCATCAGAAATTGCTCAAGCATGATGTACCAAAGCCTCTTATAAAAAATCTGATCCATTTGTAAAACTAATGCGTTGTAGCAACGGGACAGCAATGACTTTTCAATCTGAAATTATAAAATGTAGCTTAGTTAGCTGAATTATGAAACAATAGTAAAAACTAATTTAAACTAAAAATGTTATGTTTCTGCAAACTAGAATATAGCTAGATCTATACACAGACAATATTAGTAAATATTAGTCAACAATTATTTTCTCTAAACAATTTGAAATCATACCTTATGACCATTATAGAAAGCAATTTCCTCTGCGTTTGTAATAATTCTTGAGTGCATAAATCTGAGGTATCCCTTTTTATGGGCCTCTTCAGCAACCAATTTTCCAAATTTGGGAGAAACAGACCGTAATATTTTGGCAGTAATGAGTATTACAACCATAGCTATGATTGTAGGGGTTTTGGAGCTTGCACCCCGACTTTGGGCGAGTCTATACAATGTGAAAGACATTAGCGCAACATCCAACAATGGTTTCGTCAAGTGCGAGTACAGGTGAGCAAGTGAAGATGTAAACATTGTAATGTCCTCTGTTAAACACTGGTCAGCATTTGATAACCTACTGTCAAGATTGCTGACACGGTAGTATGTTTGGCTATCAAAGTACTTCTCGTATGCATGCTTCACCAGCCTTGTACGAAACACAAGGGCAAGTTTGCTTTCAAGAAATCTGATCAAGCTGTTGATGAAAGTTGCTGGTACCGCCAGTAAAATCCATTTCGCTAACTGAACAACAAAGCGGGTCACATCTCGTTGTACGATAGTTTGAACAATGCTGCCATCTAGCTTAGCAACGTATATGGAAAGAAATGTCCGAATGATTAAACTTAAAGTGTGCAGAGACAGAATTCCAAACTCCTTACACCAAATTTTTGGAATAATTATCTTTATAAGATACTGCAATTGCTGATAGAACTGTTTGTCAACATTTGGACTAGTTTTGTCATTTTTATTTTGATCTGAAGCACTATGTGAAGGAGAAACAGTTACATTTTCTGTTGATGCTTCCTGTTTAGTCAATGTTTGATCCTTTTGGAATTTTTTGCCTTTCCTTAGCTTATTGGAGAAGACAAGTTTTGCCAAAGTAGGATAATAGCACCTCACACCATAAGCAGCCAGTAAACACAGTGCTGCTCCTGAAGCAACTTTTGTCCGAGATAAACTTGATTTGTAAGCAGCATCATAAAATTTACTGTTAGACATTTTCTCAGTGTTGTCTAGGCTGGCTGTCTATATCCTGTAAGCAATCAGTTAATGATAAGTTAAATTTCATTTTAAATTATCAAACCAAGAGTTTTCAAAGTTTAGTTTTTTGTACAATTTGGATATTTAAAGACACAATATGATTCATTAAAGAAATTAATTACTTGCATAATTTTGTTAAAATGTAGGTTATCTGCCATACAGGTAAATCTAAAAATTGTAGGTCAATTGATTTAATCTTAAATTAGGTTATTCCACGCTCAGCATAATGGGAAAAATGTCCTAATTATCACAAAGTGATAACACAAGTAGATTTACACCGAATAATATGCAGTTTAAAAAAGGAAAATATTTTGTTCTAGACTAGGTAGTTTTTTATTAGACTATTCAAAGTATGTTTTTTACCACTTTAGATTTATGACTGTTGCTATTTAAGATAAAACTTTGCACAGTTTTTTCTAGATAATGTGGACAACAGAAGTAACTTAGTAAAACAGGATTATAAAAATGTTAACTTGAAATAAATTTGTTAGTATATTCATCCAATTAAGGTGCATGGCATTGCCCAATATCCAAGCATAACAAATGATGCTAGTAAATGTTGGTAATAAGAAGATTAAATTAAATAAAAATCAGCCAATGGATGACTATAAATAGTTAAGTCTTTCAAAGTAAGGGACAGCTGGTTACGTTGTACTAGACATATCCCCTATCATTGTATAATTTTACTTTTACTAACAAAGAAAATTTTGAAATAGAAGCTATTTCACCCAAATTAATAGACATATAGACATTAATTTATTAAATACAAATCTATCTAACCACTGTAGGCCTATCAATATAATTAAATGTCAATTTTAATGACTAAAGTCAGCATTCAAGAAAATGACTAATTTCAACAGAAACAATAGTGTAACAATAGGTTTATATAAAGTCAGGATGTAAATCTAGATTGGATCACAAAAGGGCAAGATGAGCAAAATCCCTACTTCAACTGAAAGAGTTTACAAGATAACTATTTTAAACTAGATCTGGTACTGCGTATTGGTTTATTATCACATGGTTTGGTTATATTGACAGTGTTCAGACTACATCTAGAATAATTTTTATGGTAATCTATCGTTTTAGGTACGTAAATTCGCCCGCGACTAGTAATGTGAAAACCAGGTGACTCCTTAACCGCTAACCCTAATAAAATAAAATTATAAAATATAGGGCCTATAGAGTACTACTATAGAGTCATAGACTATAACTTGACTATAGGTAGTATCACCTATTCAATTCTAATTATTTAGTATTTAGGCCTAGATCTCTCTAGTAGACTTAGACTAGAATCTAAATTCTAGATTAAATACTCTTTTCCAGTGGTGTAGCCAGGATCGTCTCAAGGGGGGGGGGGGGGGGGGTTCCAATTTTTACCCGGGGACAAACTTTCGATTTGCACCCCCCTCAAACTTTTGATTTGCACCCCCCCTCAAACTTTTAATTTGCACCCCCCCTCATACTTTTTATATATATACCGAGGGGTCTATGGGGGGTTATGACCCCCCTAACCCCCCCCTGCCTACGCCAATGCTCTTTTTTAAGAACCAGAACATTATTTTTTTTTTAAAGTTAACAGTGTGTGTGTAGATCTAGAACTAAGTACTGTAACACTGTAGTAAAGTTTGTAGTGTTGTGTAATTGTAATTGGTAAATCACTAGATCTATAAGACAGTATACTATAATTGAGTAAGAAAGTAATAGTTCTATATTCTAGATCTAGATCGAAACAGTGCTAGGATGCAGTGGTGCAGCCCGTTTGCAAAATTGACTGCTGTAGGCCTAACTTTGGTAAAATCTTAGTTTAGCGTAGTAAATTCCAACGTAGCTAGTAATGTGCGATGAAGGTAACTAATGAATATTTCTTTCATTTGGCCATATTTATGTCATATTTTACATAATATAACAGATAATTGAATAACAAATCACAATCCAAGACCAAACCAGTCATAAATATCCTGGAATAAACTTTAAACTACCCCGTTCGAGACAACAATGAGTAAATACAAGCAGCGGCCATGTTTTAAAAAACAATAAATTGTCTATTCGCATGTCTTTTGTGTTGATTTTGTGGTTTAATATGATTGTTTTGTATTGTTTTAATATATGCCGGGGGTCGTCCATAAATGACGTCACACTCGTAGGGGGAGGGGGGTCCGTAATTTTGTGACGTTGTGTGATGAGGGGGAGGGGTTCAGATGGTGCGACGTCACACTTTTGCATTTTAAAAAAGCAATGTTAGAAAACGAATTTTAGACGTTATTTTGCGTTTTAAAAAACTGTTTTAATACATTATAATAACAATTGATTAAAATACTCTATTTTGACAGAGTTCAGACAAGATTTTGGAAAAATATAGCTGTTTAAAAACAATTCAACTGCAATTTTGAGGTGGGGGGGGGGGGGGGTTGTAGGCTGAAGTGTCACGTCATTTTAGGGGGGGGGGGGGGTCTGGCTTTTTGTGACGACGTGTGACGGAGGGGAGAGGGGGGAGGTAAAAATCGTCAAAAAAAGCATGACATCATTTATGGATGACCCCCTGTATAGTAATTTTTCTTTTTTTTTTCAATATAGTTGACATGAATGACTAATAGACCTTATCAGACTTAATAGTGTGCATCCAAGACCATAAAAATTGTTGGGAGGTCGAACTTTTAAACACTTTATTTGCAGTAAGCAAATCAATATTAGATCGCTCATAAATGACGTCGCTCTTAAGATAGTAATGACAGCGTGCATTATTACAGAACAAACATATGAACATATTGTTTCAGATAGAAATTGTGATTTGTGGTGGGGAGAGGTTGAGTAGAACTCAGCGATGTGATTTTGGAGACGGGTCAGGTTTTTTTTCTCGTGAAAACGGGATGGTTGTGGGGGAAAGACCAGCTGTAGAAGTATGACGCGTCATTCAATAATTCATTGGTGATCCATTTTCTCAGTGCGGACGAAAGAACTATTAAGAAGGGTCAAGAAATGTAAAAAGCTTGCCGAGTCGCATTTCTTGAATCCTACCTTTTTCATTCCCCCACTTAGCACATCGTCACCGAGTCAACGCTCGCACGTGACGTCAATTAGCGGTACCGCCGACCGTTAAGCTAATTTTATAGAAAAAAAAACAAGCACTGCCTTTTTGACGCTTTTGCGACGTTTAGTTTGATTACATAAGTTGGTGTTCATTAAACAGCCCCTAACACATCTATCACTTGTCCATTTAAACGTACGTAGTTATTTCTGCAAGCTTGCTGTCTTGAGACTTTCGGCCCTTTAAAAATGTATTAAGCTCACACCGTATAGAACTGGACTACCTATATTAAGCTCCAAAAGAAGCTTGGTGAAAACAGGATGGCCGTCCGATTTTGTAGCTGCTCTGCGCTTTATAAAAACCACAATAAACGATAAGATGACACTTATATTAAAGTAAATTATAGTTCTGAATCTTGATACATTAAAAGTGATATTCGGAAATTAAGAGCCAGACAGTCAACATGATATTTCAATTTAAGTTTAAGTCCAAGAAAATAAATTTCCTCAAACGATGGAACATTACTAAATTTTCGCGCAGTTTAGCGAAATTGAATTTAAGTATTTACGTCATCTTACAAAGCGCGACAGCCTACTGGTGCTCTACTAACGCGGCCCATGCTAATGGCTGTATTCCTAACGCCCCGCATTAGACGTGGCTTATTCGTCGGCAGGCATTTGGTGGCAAGCCTTTTTGACGGGGATAATGTGTTGCGGCCGGTTTGCCGAATGCCTTAAACTAGCAGGCTTGCAACATTTGTGATGATTCGTTTTAAGCAAGGTATACGTATACTAATGCTTATTTATCGTTATTTTGATTGAACAAAGAATTATAGAGGTTCTCCATCAACCATCTAGGTATTTTTCCCCGTTCACCTACTTTCATGAGACCGACACGTCATAAATTGCAAAGCCGCCTGAGTTGACGTCACAAATCTTCACTCACTCCCGTAGCAAATCATATGTGACATCATTTATGGACAACCCCATATCACTCACTTGTGTACTTGATATTGACAATTTGACAACAAAGGATAACCAACATGTGTCTGGCAGGTGGAGACTTGCGATCGACCATAATGACAACACGCACTTAAGGGGTGGACTGGCTCATTGTTTTAGATGATGTTTTACGAGGGAAGCTGGTGGATAATACATTTTGTATCTCTGTATATATAAATGATGACAAACATTTAATGTTGTCAAAATTATGGTTAAAGATCTTAGATAAGGCAGAGTGAAGCGTAATTTTTTACATTATGACTTGATGTGACATTGACGACAAAAATATGACGGAGGTTGGGGTTTAATTAAGGTAAAGAGAAGTAAAAAAAAATGTCATAAGTTACGATAGAATTACTAATAATTATTATTGATGAAAAGAAAAACCTGAAACTGAAATGAAAATAGTGAACATTAAAACAATAAGAAAAAACTCACAACTATTTAGTAATAGTAAGATCAAATAAACATTAGTTTAAAAAAACGTGATTTAATACATGGATACAAGTTGCATCTCACAATGCTTCTAGAATTAATAAAGTTGTTTGTTAGGAAATTCACATTTAAAAAAAAAATGCTTTGTAATATGGACTATACAACAAGACGATCATATTTAAATACATTTTTATACGAATAGAAATGAAAGGGAAGCTACTCTAAATAACATTTTCTTAAGATGGCTGCTGTTTTTAATAGCAAATTTACTATCTCGAACAGGGTTGATAAAAATTAATTTCAGGATATTTAAATTGATTTAACCATCAATGGTGATCTATTATTCAATTATCTATAATACTTTATCAAAATATACGAAAATATACTCATATTTAATGACATATTCATTAATTCACTCTCTCCCACATTACTAGTTTTGGCCGAATTTACGACGCTAAACTAAGATTTTACCCTAACTTTATTAAATTATTGCTTTCAAACCAGCGTTAGATACAAATGTTTGAAATTCTACCACTATGCTACATAATTTATTAGATTTGTTTATTTCATAGCAACACGCACATTTTTAAATCTTTGATAACAATACAGATGAGTAGCATAGCAACATGTCAGAAAGTGTCACAAATGGACTCTTCTTATTGTTTTGATATTTCTTGTGTAACCTCAAACGCAACCAGATTTTTATCAAATCTTATTTTTGTTTTGTTTTTAAATAAAAACGCTAACTAAATAAGTAGAAGAAAAAAAAGAAAGTCTAAAAAATAAAAGTAATAAAATCAACATGTTGCATTTAATAAATTGTTGGTACTATGAATGCTTTAAATTATTAGTAAAAAAGATATTATCATAATAAACTATAGACTTTTGAAATAAAATTAACAGAAAATTATTATATTTATTAGATCTGCAATATCCTTACTGGCAATTTGATTATTGCAGAAACAAGAAATGTTCAAATAAGACCCATTTTTTATTACAACCACAATAGTTTGTAAAATAGTAAAAGTTATCGTCTGCTAAACTAGCCTAAGTCAATATTATTATTATTAGATTGATATTTTCAAAGAAAGAAAAAGGAATGAGGATTAGATCTATAATTATTAATTGTAATAATATAGATCTAGATATAGATCTATATCTATAATTGTAATATAATATACTGACTTTTATTAAATTAAAACCTAAACTTTAAATAAAAATGAACTGGATTGGCGGGGCTAGAAACAGACTTCGTGGTCCATTTAAGAATGATTTAAAAGCTCAAAAGGTAGGTGCACCTTCACTAGAAAATAGATTAATCCTCATTTTATAACACGGTTAAAAGTATATTATATATTTTCTATATAAATTCCTGAATGGAACTAGCTAAAAAGCATTTTTCTTCTGCACATTTTGCAATTATTTTTTTTTTTGACTTTGTGTCATCCCTTTAAAATGGTGTCACCCGGTGCGGTCCACACCCCCGCCCTCGCTACGCGTCTGGATAACGTCAAGCATGGAGGAGGAGGGAAGTCGGGATTTTTTGTCATAGCATGAAGTGGTAGGGAAAGGTATAGGGGATAATCTATTTATGACCCCCTCTTTAAAAGTATGCTATTTATTTACTAACCCACAACGGAGCACGTCCATCATTTCCCGTCCACTTCCACGGACGAAATAGAAAGATATTTTGAAAATATTATAAACTAGACAGCACCCCTCCCCCCTCCGTAGAGGAATATCTGATAGAAAACGCTTTTTTAAGGCAAAGTTTAAGCTGTTAAATAGATCTAGAATCTAGATATAATTGCATTTCCGTTGTATACATACAGTCATACACTTTCAACACTGATTCATTAAGGGTATAAGCAGAGTTTCTTCCAGACAGGCATCTATTCGGGGGGGGGGGGGGGGGGAATGGAATTTATATAGAAAACATACTTAAACACTGTCCGCCCCCCCCCCCCCCCCCATGTGACATCACATTTTTTTAATCTTATAAATAAAACAGCGATAAAAATACAATTGTTCATTTCTAGACCTAGCTTCTTTTTTTAAGCAAACAGTTAATTACCCGCGACTGAGACCCTTAGCCGTTACCCACTAAAAACCATACAAGAGTGTTATGTGGTGATAAAACGGGCATACGCTGACCAAACTTTACTTAGGTTTGCGGTAGCGTGTTTGGGGTGGGGGGGTGTAGCTTACAAATTTCCTCAAAAATATGCTTAGGAGTAACCTATTGTGGACATAATATTAATTATACACCGCTGTTGTGTGCTGATTTTGACTGGTCTGACATTTATAACATTGTGCATCTGTTACTGTTATGTTACATGGATCAAAGTAATTGTGGCCAGAGTGTCAGATCGTGTCGAAGCGCACGAAGAAAGGCCGTAACAAGAGAGAAAGTGTGCTAGTTACATGCAGTTGAATATTCATAGAAGGCTACATTTTACATTTAAATAAAGTCGTTGGATAATTAGCTTAGTGGCATATGTTTTTACAATAGCTTAACTGAGCAAACTGAAATCTTTTTAAAATAGTTTAGATTTTTAAAAATGTATCTGGTTGGGTCGGTAATGCTCATGATTGCTAAACCGAAAAGTCCTTAGTTCAAACCCCCGGATAAATGAGGTTCGATAGCTGGGGACAGCAACCCACCTTGGAGAGAAAACTTCAAAATAAAAATAAAAACTTCGGCCTTGTTTTTTTGTTTTTGGTTGGACAAAGTCTTTGGAAGCAAATCGAGAGAGAAAAGCAGGCTGAAATCGGAGCCAATGGCCTGTCTGGCGCATACAAAGTTGACGCGTAACACTTAATCGTCTTGTTGGAAATCCCTTGCATCATTACAATTAAGAACAAAGAAAAAGACGATATTGATCAATTTTCCACATAAAATATTATACTTTTTTCTTAGCATTAACGGTTACATGGGCAAAAGTGTATGTCGAATGTAGTGTGCGAATATTTGAGAAATTGGTGTTAATCATTTGTTTACACAATGTAAATTTAAATGAGTTACTTCTAGCCATCGGCGTAGCTACACATGTCAGTGTCAATGGCATATTGGTTTTGCCACTTACTCTTACATATTTTAGCCAGTTTTATGCCTTGAAATATCTCTGTCTTCAGCAATAACAACATTAGCATTTATTTTAGTCCAATGAACAGCACCCAAAATATCCCTTTAAGATGACAGTCTTCTGAGTATCCATATAAATATAAGCCTACACACAATTTAAAAGCTTTAAATTACAGGAATATTTTGAACGCAAAAGACTACTCTTGAATAAATCGGAGAAAACAGACGGCGATGTGGTGGATTCAGTACGAAGTCGACGTAAGAAATCCAAAGTTAGCCAAGACGTACTAGCTTTTAAAAGACAGAGCAAAGTAAATATTGAAAATGGTAATCCTTTTGTAGGCTTAATTCATTTTAATTAAAATTTAAAACTACTAAACATATCGAAACACACATGTTTAAAAAGAATGTCTTTAATATGTTTATCAAAATGCTCTAGTTACCTTTATTCCGCAGATTCCAATTATCGTTTGAATTATCGAATGGTCAACATTAGTTCAAGACAAGTCCCTAGAGGTAGTAATTACAGCACATTTATTTTTCATAGTCTTAAGATTATCTAACACTAACTATTTGCTTCCTAAAAATCTGTCACAAAAATAATTGCTGAGCCTGCAAAAAACCGAGTGTCACCTACTACATATAAATTTTTGTAGTACAGTCTATTAGCTCTAATACAAATGAACCCATCATTACGCTCATAATGACACTTGTACACTTGGTCTATTTTAAGTGGGTGCTAATGTGTATGGAGGTAGTCATGTTAATGTTGTGAACATGCCGCTGTCGCCGGTAGAAAGACATTCAGTATTGCAGCTTACTTCTCCTCCAAGGTACTGTCGTTCTTTGTGTTTAGAATCGTCAGCAGATGAAAAACTTACTAGAACAAAAGGTTAATAAAGTAACGCATCGCATACACAATTAAAAATTAATTTATAGATGTCCGTTTAAGGTACACTTACTCAAGATTTAATGTTAATCGCTGTTAAATCGACTTAGCTTGCATAATGCATTAGACGATTCTTTTGTTCTCAATAAAATGTCAGTTTGATTGAAACTTGATTCGGTGGTATTTCTAGCTTTACTTTATCCTTTGACTATGGATTATTTTAAAGGTGATTTTTCTTATTGATCCTTTGTGAATGTCACAACAAGAGCTAAACACAGTTATCGTTCGTTATGAACATTTCCTACAACGAGATAAAAAATAATAGTGGTTTTTTTTTTTCAAAAATGTACAATGTCGTTTACTTATTACTATACATAAATATATATATAGGCGTATGCTGCTATTTATAATGCTGATTTTTAAAAAAAAAATGTTTTTCTCTGGTCGATCGCAGCAAACAAAATGTTGGCCGTTCAGCTTTAAACAAACAAGAAAATGAATTTGGAAAAGGCGTAAGTTTGTTTAACCAAGAAAGAATTTCCAACAGCCATATACACGGAACTGTCCAGTCGCCAGTCATTGATCTGTTTGGTATGCCAGTTAAAAAGCCCGTTAAAGTTAGTAAAGGGACAGCATCTACAGATGACAGTAAAGAAAACTATAGAATTGATGGCATCCGAGCAAGCCGAGAGGTATGAGTTGGTGTGCTTTCAGAGTATAGTTTAAGCTTCATTGGTTTTCGTTTCATACTAAAAGCTGTTTTATAAATAGCACAAAAGAATTTAATTATTTATAAAAAAAAGTTTCTATTCATAATAATTAAATAAATTTTGGAATAAACAAAATCAGCGTAAAAATCTCTACCCAATTACTATCAATTTTTTTTTCATTTGTGTCATTAAATATTAAAAAAAAATGTTAATGCTAAAATTAAAACGTGTGTGTTTAGAAACGAAAATCAATGAAATTGTTTGTTTTATATTTGATTTGTTTACTTGGTCTTGAATACATGCAGTGTTGGAAAGTATACAGAGACAGTAAACACATTTACATCCAATCTATTCCCATAAGATTGAGAAAAGAAAATCTGAGCCACAATCACTTTTTAAAGTAAGAACTCTAGTGTTATACAAGTTAGGTTGCTGAAATATTTCTAGGTATCTAAAACCAAAGTAATTTTCAACTCTCTTCTTATTGCTAATACAACGCGATATTTCGTTTATCGGTATTCTACTATTTGGACATCTCTCTCGTGTGATAAAGTAATGATAAAAATAAAATAGTTATCTGAGATTAAAGGTCAGTGTACAACAAAGTTCATTACATTACACTTTTTCTAAAACAAATGTATTGTTTCTGTTAACTATTTCAATTACTTTTGTTTAACTGATAGAGTGATACAAGTGAATACGAGTCTTATTTAAGCGGCGTAGAAATGAACATAAACAAAAATAACTTGTTGAGGAGACAACTGGAATCAAGCTCCAGAAACACGTCAACACATTTATCAAACAAAGACTATCTTCAGCACAACAGTTACTGCGGTTACCCAGCAGAGAGAAATTACAACGATGTAAATCACACATCCAGCAGTGCCTCGTATTTATCTCCCCACTCACTGGACGACTTACGGACTGTCCCCGATACATACTACAACACTGCTGTTAAATCTCCAGAAAGGGAAACATTCCAGGTCAGCGTTGTAGATTCTCCAGACTTAAAGCAAGTTAGTAAACCTGTCTCTTGTGGCGCTTGTAATAACAACGACACTCGGTATTACTGCCACTCACAACCAGACGTGCCTGAATTCGGCAATCACCGAAATAATACTTTTCCCAAAGACGTCTCCAACTCTGACCCTCAGCTAGGCTATACGAACTATCTTACGGACAATTTTCTAACGCGTCCTCCAGCATCTAATAGTTTCTACAGTCAGGAACCCCGCGATAATCGAAATTTCATTCAGGATATAATGTTAAAAGGGCAACAAGAAGAAGAGGAGGAACAGTTCTATAGAAAACACAATTTATTGAACACACATCCCATTAGTTTCAGTCAAACCCAGCAAACAACAAGAGCCGAAGAGCATTGCATAAAAACCTTTGATGAGGTCTCCATCCTGCCAATAGAACAACACACTTCGTCGTTTACCAATGTAGGCAGTACTTCACATTCTGACAAAACCTACATCGTTGCTAGCGGGTTGGACAATACACCCGACGTGGTTCAAGGCAAATCTCGAGATAATCCTAAATACAACGCGAAGATTGTTGCAAAACACAGCTCTTCTACTTTAGCATGTTTACGAAACAACGTCAGCAAAAGCACTAAAAAGAAACCTCCAAATGAGCCGTTTAATAAATCCTACATGAAAGATCGTTGGTCAAACGCTGTTGGGTAAGGATAGTCTTCACTCTTACTCTTTCTTAAATAGGTCTGAAAATCTAGTTTTGCTAAAGACATGTACTAGTAATAAATTCTGTATAAATTCATATTAAGCTACAATTATGTTTTTATACCAGAGATTCGCCCTTCCCTGGAGATGTGTATCCTAACCATGAACAAAGAATGCCTCATAAAACTAGCACAAAAAGCGAGAGAAAACAGGAAGAAATACTTAGAGAAACTGCAGCTTTCTGTAACAGCGATATACCACACAATTCAGGTAAAAGACAATAACAAATTATTAGCTCAATGTCAATTATTATATTATTCTGTCCTGTTGTTTAAAGACGAAGACCACTGCAGGTATTCTTATATGTTTTGTTAATTTCATCCACCCATATCTGGATTGAGTAATGACAACATTTTGCAAACATTTATGTATTTTTTCGCCCAATAAACGATTGCTTCCTCACTATAGGATTAACACAGCAAGACCCGAACAGGAGTAAGGGATTACAACACACCCAAATGCAGCAAAGAGCGTGTAGTGCTAAGTAAGTCATTTCACGGAACAGCCATTTTAAAAAAATAGATATAGCTTAAGAAATAGATGGTTCAGTTTTAATACAATGACCGTCAAAATACTCGCTACAAGTAAAAACAGACATTGCAATAGATATTCAAAATAAAATGGAAATATGTTACACACTTCTAAAAACAGTTGTCGAAATATTTCAAAGACTACAATTAATGTTCACATTTTTATTGTTTTCGTAACTGTAAGAATAAAACTTTTATTAGTCTTGCTATTGTCTCAAAACGTATGACTATACCTTTTTGTTGCAACAAGTAAGAGCAAATGTGAATATTTTTCAGAGAGATTGCTTCTCTACCGTTTAATGAAAAGGACCAGGTAAGACATTTTATTAGCTCTATTTACCAATGAAAAACTACGTTACTACCAAATTCCAAATTTTCATCATCTTTTACCGTTCGTGCTCAACACACATAGGGCTTACAAAGTTTATCTGTTTCAATAACCTCGGCATATAAGGGGATAATGTGGTCAGCACCATGCCCAGCCGCATTTGTTTCTCATCAGAGTTGGGTGGACTCAGGAACGACATCTTACCGACTCGAGTCCGACATCAGAACTCGATACTTCCGGGTTAGCAGTATAGTGCTCTACCGCTCCCCAAACGTTAAGTTTAAGCTAATGTTATTAAACATACAACGAAAAATACATTACACTATTTTTCCATTGATAATTATTTTGTTGTAATTAAACACATGACTACTAATCTAAGGACTATTTTCACCTGCCACGGAATCTTACAATAAAGTATATTTGTATATAGTGTGAAATTATCATTTACCTCATCAGTTATAATACTCGATGTTACATTTAATTCACCAGATCAAAACTGTTGAAAATTCCGTGCAAGAATGTATCACCGACATCTTAAATGACATCAATACGTCGCAGGCAGTAACATCTCATAATACTCAATCCCGTGATCGCGACAGAGAAAACAGACACAGCTCCATTTATGAATGTACGAACACTATATCACGTTATAAACACGCACGAAATGACAATAACTGCAACACAGTTCAAACAACTAATCTAGCAGAGACAGAAGCCCATCAGGAACACGTTATATATAATGAACATTCCAACCTTAAAACACAGGATCTACATCAAGATAACACTATTGATTTAAACGACGAAATGAGTACTAAAGTTCGTTTAAGTATTGCCACACCGCTATCAACCAAACAGAAAACAAGGGACAGAGAAACACCTATGACGCTGAAAAGCTGTGTCGTGATATCATCAGCAGATAACCCAGAAACGAGTGACCAGTGTCAGTGTGTCGATAAATGTCCTCAAATTCATGCTACAACGCTGACCCAGAGTAGTGGACAGTCTGAGAAAAATGGTCCTAAGACGGTCAGCACTCAGACAACGCCGCGGGTCGTTAAAGATTCTTCGTGTAGCCCTATAGCTGTTGTCTGCTCGGACGCTGAGAGGAAAGTGTCGACCACCACAGCAGATTCTCAAACACTAGACTCTACATCTACAGTATGTGGGAAGGTTTATAGTTTGAGGTCAAGATCGAAGGATTTGAATCTATAGAAATAAAGCAAGTGGTTTTATTACATATCGAAATGGTGATGATATAAATGTAAGGCTCGAGTTAAACACGGAAAGTATTTTTATTTTCATTGGTGTTTAAATTGTTTTAAATAGTTATATTCAGTGGCTTAGGCGGGGGGGGGGGGGGGTTATAACCCCCATAGACCCCTCGGTATATATATATATATATATAAAGTTTGAGGGGGGGGGTGCAAATCGAAAGCTTGTACCCGGGTAAAAATTGGAACCCCCCCCCCCCCCCCCCCTTGAGACGATCCTGACTACGCCACTGGTTATATTTAATTTATGTATGAAATTAAACAGAATACAAACTTTACATTTCACTAACAAATATTTCATCATATTGGCTTTGCTATTGGGTGTTGCTTTCAGTCAACTTTGGAAAATGAACTCTAAAAGGTTTTTCTCCCTGTACATTACGAAATGGCTTGAACTGTCAAACGTATTAAAACACCATGTCAAATATTGTTTTCTAGCTAACAATCAGCTGATACACTTTTTCAAGTTTTTTGAAGTTGTTATTTTTAGACAGTACATTATAACATTAATTTACCCAGAACAATGTTACATATTTTTTTTATTACATTAAACCGTAATACACATATTTTTACTACAGAAAAAGAATGATTCCACTTGAAGATGTAACTTTCCCTGAACAACGCTATAGATTCGAATGTGTTGAAAGTATGTAACAAGCCTTCTCTTTATCGAGTGTAGAGCTATGTAATAAATGCCAACAACTGTAACTTCACACGTCATTCATCTCAGTGTTGTTTCCACTCAATAAATTTACATTAGTAGTAGATTCAGTATCTGTTGAATTCGGCTTACATTTTCTTACCAAGTCGCTGTGTCGTGGTTATAAAAAATATAAAGCAGTGCACTGTGTTGTAATGAAGAGAAGATGTGCAGGTGTCCGTAACATAGTCTACCACTGAAACCAAAATGTTATATACACAAACCGCGTGAGGTAGACAGATAAATACACCATGCAACTAAATATGATGCTTTTATTATTTAATAATTTAAACATTTTATATAATTACTAATTATATAGCTCTAATTATTTAGTTAAGATACACCAACATTTATTATATTAATAACACCACAAGCACTTAAGCTTTGCTTTCATAAATACTGAATCTACTTTATTAATATATCACATATAAGCATATACAATTATGATTAACATTAATTGGGTTTACATTTATATATGTGTGTATATGTATATATTTATATTAATAATTTCAGTAGTTTGCTTCTTTTAATGCATTACGACTGTTTTTTATTTAAAAAACCAAATTGCCGTTTTTTGTTGACTAAATTATAAAAGATTTCAAAGTAACAACCCAATAAAAATTAATGTGAACGTCATTAAATAAAAGTACACATATTGTTGACCAAATTCTAATCTTTTCTCATTTTGTTTAGTTATATGATATTTTTATCAAAATATGCTTTAACCTCACAGAAATCCGAGTCTAAATACTCAAAAATACACATTTCAACAATCATGAAATAAATAAATATGGAACTTAGGATTCATAATGCATCGTAGAGCGAAAAATTGACACTATATATACATTATATATATATATATATATATATATATATATATATATATATGTGTGTGTATGTGTAATTAGTTTCTAACCCATTCGCTCGTCATACAAAGCAAAAAGCGGTTGCGCTAAAATATCTATTTTTGTCCATTAAATGTTGACACTACAAGCATGTATAAATGCGCCTCGGCAGGTTGACATTACATTGCATTGGCCAGCAGTATTCAACTCACGCAATAATTTATAGGCCTTAATAAGTTAAATAGTACAAACTTTCTCTCTGTTTTGACTCGTTTGTATGGAACACACATCAACAGCGAAAATTATTGGTTGTTTGCGATTTGTTTATACATACATTCTTAAGTCGTCTAGATCTATGTGTCTGAAATAGTTTAAAAGTAGTATTTATATTATTTAAAGTTATAAAGATAAATTAGCAGATTCTTTGAGATTTACCTGATAAAAATTATATGTATACATTTGTTTAAACAATGTTACATTTTAATAATGATTTTGTTTTTGTTTTAAAAATAATTATTTTCATGTAAATAAAATGTATATTTTGATTTCTATATAAATATATGAGAGACGTTAGAATAACAACATGCATTTTATTTAATAAGAAGACGGCATTACTGCAATTTAATTAGCGGTAACAAAATATAGAAAAAAAAATGAAAAAGTTGATTTTTAAACCAGTGTGAGGAATAATAAACTTAAAATATACACTTAAACTAAAATTTAAACACAGCTACTGTTATTGATAAGCCGCAATCATATCCTTTTAAAAAGAGAAAACAGGTGTTTTTTTTTAATGTACATAGGCCTACAGGAAAAACAATATTTTTTATTTTTATTGTTTCATTATTTTATTAAATATCATCATAATTACTGTATCCTATATTCTATAAAAGGTCTTTTTAATTAAAGCATTAATTAAATATGCTGTTCACCCCTGTAGACGTCCATGTGGAGCAGATTAGGACGTCTTAATAAATGGATCATCATTTTTTTTTAATTCTATTTTTCCTAATTACAAAGAACGTTAGATGTTTGTTATGCCTTGATTAAACATTAATACAAAAACATCGAATGCACACACATGATGGCCGTTTACTTATGTCTATACGATTACATACAAACATTGGGCCACGCCGTATCAATTATTCTACTCCATATTGCATCGTTCATAAATAAAATCCAACAGAATAGTTCAACAAATAAATTATAATGCAGTTGTATAGTTAATGTTTAGGTTTTACAATAACACATAGCTAAAATATAGTTTCAATAGATTCATTAAATAATATAATTTGCTTCTTGAAGTAAAACACAGTTGATATTGCGGGGGCCGTTTTATTTGACTGAACTATTCCAGAAAACGTATATTCAAATAGGCTGCACACAGCGTGGCATATACAATTTTACACCATGCTCTGTCTACTATCCAAGTCCACGAAAAATACACACGATATTATTCGTGTCCTATTTCTCTTTCCTCTGAACTACCATGGCGCGGGGTAATGCTCAACTTGGGAAAACCCCTGATTAGATCTCACTTTCATTTTATGGAAGTCTCAAAACCAAAGCAGTTCTTTTATCTTTTTCCCCACCAAGCCGCTTGGTTTAACACCAAAGTTATTTCCTGGGTTGAAATAATAGTAGATTTACGGCTCAATGCTAGTGTTATTCCGGCGAGTCCAGTTCTGACTCTCGACCATCCCTGTTTAGCCCTCGTATGTGCACGTACTGTATCGTCTGTGGGTTTAGAGACTGGATTGGGTCGGCTGAGCCAGCGAACCATGAACGTGTAAACCACGACCTGTAGAAACATAACAGACAGTATTCAAATATCAGGAAATACGGGATTAATCATTAATGACACAGCAATAGAGTTCAAAGATGTATAGATTTTAAATAAATTGTATCGACTACCTGGCAAAAAGCCCTTCCACTTCCTCTAACGTTCGACCCTTCGTTTCTGGTAGAATCAATGCGAGTAAAATGGCGCCAGCGAAAGCCAAGCAGGCGTAGAGCCAGAATGTACCTGTAAATGCATACACGTTATAACTTCTTTAATAAATTATATATAAATAATCTTTTTTAATCGTGAAATACCAAACTATTTGCCGAAGATTTATGATTTTATTTTTATTTATTTTTTTATATTTAAAAAATACTTTCTCTATATAATGAGATATTTTACCATATCTTGTGAGGGACTCGGTCAGAGTAATGAAAGACATCGAGACAGCTAAATTAAACGTCCAGTTCATGAAAGTAGATGCAGCATTGCCGGTGCTACGTGCCCAGAGTGGGTAGATTTCCGAGTTAATTGTCCAAGGCATTGGTCCCATTCCTGTTTTTGTGTTGACGAGATACGATATGAGTTTCAACTTTGACCTTAAGACGAGTGACTACAACAAAGGGTAGTAACACAGAATAGATAACAGCCATATACATTGCTATTAGTTGCGTCCCTTGCCACATTGAATATCCCCTTCATGTTATTATTTATATTGATTTTTTTAAAACCAATTACAAGTGCGTGATTATGCAAATCAAAATGAACTACATTGGAAAATTACATGCAGTTATGCTAAACATTAAGTAAAATACATGTTCTAACTAATCTAAACTTATTTGTTTCAAACGTTTTTTTTTTATTAAATTACAGTAAACATGCAATGTCTTTTAATTAGGTGTTTTCATTTATTGTTGCGTTACGGTTGCTGTTATTTTTAAATCTATGAAGTTGTATTCCAACATTTTCTACCCAGTTAAAATTAACGAAATATATATCAAAGGTAAAATGAAACTGTACCTGGAGCAAAAGATATCAGGTACAGCACCAGGCCAACCATTGGCATCCAGGAATACGGCGTAGGACAGTAGTCGTAAGCCCAGGTGACACCGCCCGACAGGCTACTACTGTTGCAGCGTCCTACGGTCGATCTCCACGGGTCGTCGTAGGACGTAGGCAAGCAGGAAGAGTTGACCACGACGGTAGGGAGATCCACATAGCAGAAGCCACAGTCGAGATCTTTACGGCAGTCGTTGCATGATCTGTGAGTTTCAGAACATTATAATTATATTTATTTACTCATTTCATATTTTAATTTTTGAAATGTAGGCCTTTATCTATAAGCTGCTAGGTAGTGTCATTGCGTTCCTTGATGGTTTAGTTAAAATCAATGTGTACGCTGGTGGGAGAAAGATGTTATTACTTTTAACAACTACGTAAAACGAGTCACAACTTATACATTCTAGCTTATAAAATGTTTAATTGTCTAATTGATTAATCTCAAATAACTTTGATTACTATCTAAAATAGTTTTTGACAAAATAATAATGAGCACAGACATTTAACCTGAGTAAAGTTTTTTTAAACAAATGTAGCAAATATAATGCTTCTAATTTTACTCTGTTCCTTTTCTTTTAAAAGCATCAGCATGTTAAAGCCGTGTTTAAGTCGATACATAGCAATGTATGGTATCTACAACCTCCACGCTTAACATTTAACTGTTTGCTTAACCTGTTAGCTTAACCCTACATCTCCACCCCTAAAATCCACCTGTATCAGGCAGAACTCACCTGTATCTGGAGCAATGCGAGTCCCCTGCAATGGATTCTATCGTGTCAATGGCCGGGGTATTCAGAGCCGAGAGATGGAAGCCCACGGCCAACCACGCCAAGCTTACGATGGCGCCCATCAAGCTCCCTAAGGTCAAGGGGCGCCGCCCGATCCTCTCCACTAAATAAAGGCCCACCAGCGTGAAGAGAAAGTTGACGGCGGCTGTGACGGCCGACAGCCAAATGGCGGCCTCGTCGCTCTTTACGCCAGACATTCGGATGATGGTGGCCGAATAATACCTGGAAGTAAATTAAATAATTAACACAAATTATGATCAGGTGATACTTAACATTGTGTAATGTAAGCAAAATTAGATTTGTATCGAACTACAATCTACAGTGTTCATATTCGTCAGTAATTACCACATCGAGTGGTGTCATTTAAGGGGTGACACCATTTCAAGAGGTAATCTTTGTAGTCAAACCTATCTACTTTTACCTAGTTAAAATATTAAAATAGTTGGGTAGGGGTAACCCCTAGGGGGTCGTCCATAAATGACGTCACACTCGTAGGGGGTAGAAGGGGTCCGTAATTTTGTGACAGTGTGTGATGAGGGGGAGGGGGGGGGTCAGATGATGTGACGTCACTTTTTTTGCATTATAAAAAAGCAATGTTGGAAAATTAGTTTTAGCTGTTTAATGTTATTTCGCATTTTAGAAAACTGTTTTAATAAATTGTAATAGGAATTGATCAAAATACTCTATGTTGACAGAGTTCAGACAGGATTTTGGAAAAATATCGACGTTTTAAGAAAAATTCAACAGCAATTTTGAGGGGGGTTGCAGGCTGAGGTGTGACGTCATTTTAGGGAGGGGGTTTGGCTTTTTGTGGCGACGTGTGACGGAGGGAAGGGTGACATCATTTATGGATGACCCCCTAACCAAAAATGATAACTAGTTGGGTTTAATATTTCAGCGATATAAAAAAATATGTCGATACAAACTCAAATTATTGTCAAAGCAAAAAAGAAAATAAGTTTCAAAAACAGCATTTTAAAAAATGTAACTACTTTTCAAAGTAGCGGTAAATGCGGTTGTTTTTTGTTTAAAAAAACCACGATGAAAATAAAAAATATTCCAGTAAATCTCTGTGGGAACCAAAACGTGTCTCCAGAACGTGTTTGATAATTTGGGTAATGGAAGGCCCGTGAACCGTCACCATGGCAACTCAATAGCCGAACAACAAGCGCTACCGCTGATGGTGATTCAGCACGACGGCATCAAATTTCTGAGCGCAGACTAGAGGCACCCAGCGTAAACCTTATTTAAACAGCGCTGGGCCATTTTTTTTAGATTCGGTTAACGCGCGCATATTTCCATAATATACGCGTAAATTAATTATCCCGATCGACGTTTCTCAAAAAAAGGGAGTTAGATATTGAGTCCCATTTTTTTCTAACAATTAGTAAGTAGGGCTCATTTCTTTGGGGTAGTTAAGTATTAATAATAGGGTCACAAATTAATCCAGATTGCCGCTCAAAAACTATTTGCTGAGACTCACATTAATTACAATGATACAAGCACATTTGAAATCAGTCTTAAAAAACTAAGAGTGATAACAACTGATAAGATTATGGACTAATAAAGCGCTTCCATACATAGCAACACGAACATCAAAAAAGTAATTGTTCAGACCACGGCTGAGATGGCCCGGCTAATTACCTCTGATGACGCGAGAGATTGTCTCCGGCCAATTAGGCTGGGAACTGAGATATTGCTGAGTAAACATTTCACGTTTTCTCGTTACTCGGGAGGTGCCCGGGGTTTAGCGTTGAGATTCTATGGGTCGACTGATACGGCCAAACGATGTATGGAGAGCGATTGTCACACATTATTGTCTGATATTGTTAATCACTGTTGTCGGGGTAACTAAGAGGTGTTATTCATCGTTTTACGGTAGCTAAGGTGTTATTTATTATTCTCATGTAACTTGAAGGTGTTTTTCATTGTTCTCGTGTAACCTTAAGGTGTTATTCATTATTCTCATGTAACCCTAAGGTGTTATTCGTTATTCTCATGTAACCCTAAGGTGTTATTCATTATTCTCATGTAACTTGAAGGTGTTTTTCATTGTTATCGTGTAACCTTAAGGTGTTATTCATTATTCTCATGTAACCCTAAGGTGTTATTCATTATTCTCATGTAACCCTAAGGTGTTATTCATTGTTCTCATGTAACTAGAAGGTGTTATTCATTGTTCTCATGTAACCCTAAGGTGTTATTCATTATTCTCATGTAACTTTAAGGTGTTATGCATTTTTCTCATATAACTAGAAGGTGTTATTCATTGTTCTCATGTAACTAGAAGGTGTTATTCATTGTTGTCAGATATTGTCACCCATAAGCAGTGTTATACATTATTATGAAAGGTATTATTCATTACTGTCACGGTAACTTTAAAGTATTATTCATTGCTGTTAGGGTAAGTAAGAAATGTTACATATCGTTTTCATGGTAACTATGAGTTCTTATGTTTGTTGCTACGACAAGTAACAGGTGTTACAAACCGTTGTCATGATAACTACGGGTTGTTATCCATTGTTATCAGGATAACTAAAAGTAAAATCTGGCATACATTATTGTAAAGAGTTTGTCACATGTCTGTCATTGTAAATTTAAAACTGTCGCACATCATTGTCATGGTAAGTAAACACATTGTCATGATAACTAAACACATCGTCATGATAACTAAACACATTGTCATGATAACTAAAACATTGTCATGGTAACTAAACACATCGTCATGATAACTAAATACATTGCCATGATAACTAAAACATTGTCATGATAACTAAACACATTGTCATGATAACTAAACACATTGTCATGATAACTAAACACTCTGTCATGGTAACTAAAACATTGTCAGCCGTTGTTGACGAGGTATCTCAGATATTATCACACATCACTTAACAACTTCCCTAAACAAGATGTAAAAGTGAGATTTCCTCTCAACGATATGGCTCATATTACTTTATTTTTCGCATCACACTATCTTAGTAGTGACGCATTGTGTCCTTGTTTGTCGAGGATAGGGGTCGGTTACACGGGGGTGGGGGTGGGGGATAGTGAAGAATGGTTCTTAGAAATTTAAAATGATTGTGCCCTAGGGAAGTATAGAGTAACGTTATTTGAATGAGAGGTTGATCTAAAATGTTCTCATTTCGTGTATATAATATTTCACGATCAAAAACATGCTAAATCCGATATTTCATTTTTGAACGACTCCCTAAGTATAACCGTCTAAGGGAAGCCACTCTCTTGTCTTTTACTGAAAGGTTTGGCCATTCAGTTGTTATTAATAACTGACATACTTAACTAATCGATATATTATTTCATAAGCATAATTACTTATAACACTCACTTTTAATTGTGTTGATTAAATTTATTTTTCCCAACACTAACTAGGGAGGGGGTCAGAGACCCCCCTTAAACTGGACATAAATTATGGGTGTTGCATATGCTGGTGATATGCTACAACACAATGGTACAACTTTTTCACTTTTATTTCTACCAAACTACACATAAAAGAAGAGTTCTTTATCAATATTCACAGCTATTCAAAAGGTATTTTCAAAAGCTTTAAGAGGTTGGCGTGGCCGGTTCGGTTAAGCTCATTGGCTGCTGAACCGAAAAGTCCAAAGTTCGAACCCCCGGGCAGATTAGGCTCAATAGCTGCGGACAGCCACTCTTCTAGGAGATACAAATCCAAAATCATACAACCGCTGCCTTGAAGTCTGTTCTTGGTTGGACAAAAGCTATGATAGCAAAAAGGAGTCAACGGCGCTATAGAGCGCTTAACAAGCTCAACTCCTCCGCACCATCCCATCAGCTTACTATTTATAATATCAGCTGGAGGAACAAGTTGTCTACAAGTTCAACACACTTTGATGTTGTGGCCCATTTGAATGTCGCGTTCAACATTCTTAAGTCGTTATCTTCGTCTTGGAAAAATGTACAATTTTTATCACGATATTTTATGAAAAAGAAATCGTAATTAACAACAGAGCTCAGGCTTAATTACCCACACTTCCAATGCATGCTGCATTATTTTAAGTTCTTCCAAACTTGTAGAACTACAGTGGTAAATAATTATATACCAACACCTTTCAATATAATTTTCCGATAATTTTGTCTTCATTACAGTGTATACATAAAAACTAAACCAACTATTCCGTTTGATTACCACTTTCAAACGAACTAAATTGATCGAAAATAATAGCTGTCTGTTAGTAGGTTGTTAGGGTAGTGTATATTTAGAACCAAATCTAGGTCAAAGTAGGGAAGATAATCTCACATGACGGTATTGATGCCCGCGACCTGTTGTATAATTTGAAGACTGCAGCCGACAAGCAGCGAGCGTCGAATGGCGGGAATTTGTAGCATCTGTATGATGATTGGTGTTCGCCCTGGTAGAAAATGAAAGCAGAAGAAAAAAATTTGAGATAATTGAAAGACGATTTTTTTTTTTGAAGTTCAAGTTGTGTGGCTGTTACACAATCAATATACCAGACACGAGACGACATATTGGTAAATGTATTAGTACATTCGTTATCAACCCATGCTCTCATATACATAATATATATATATATATATATATATATATATATATATATATATATATATATATATATATATATATATATATATATATATATATATATATATATATATATGTGTGTGTGTGTGTGTGTGTGTGCCTGCATGTGAGTACACAGACACGTACAAGTAAAAGTACAAGTAGAAGTACAAGCACAAGTACAAGTACAAGTACAAGTACAAGTACAAGTACAAGTACAAGTACAAGTACAAGTACATGTAGATGTAGATGTAGATGTGGATGTGGATGTGGATGTGGATGTAGATGTAGATGTAGATGTAGATGTGTATGTGGATGTAGATGTAGATGTAGATGTAGATGTGTATGTGGATGTAGATGTAGATGTAGATGTAGATGTAGATGTAGATGTAGATGTAGATGTAGATGTAGATGTAGATGTAGATGTAGATGTAGATGTAGATGTAGATGTAGATGTTGATGTTGATGTTGATGTTGATGTTAATGTACATATATTTGACTGCTTGTGTGTACACATATACTTGTACACGAACACATACACCTGTACATACCCCGGCTCTGCTGCTCTCTCTCAATCTCCAAGCACGTCTGTTTAATGTTGTCGTATTCTTCTTCAATGTCGAGGGCGCCTCTCATGGACTGCAAGATGCGCCTGGACTTCTCCTCCCTCCCCACGCTGATCAGCCACCTGGGGGACTCGGGCATGAACAGGAACCCGATGAACTGGATGGTGGAGGGTACGGCTCCCAGACCCAGCATGTACCTGTGGGTGGGGGGGAGTAAATAGTGAGATGATGTTAATATGATGGTGGGGGTAAGGCCCCCAGCCCCAGCATGTACCTGTGGTGGAGTGGGGGTGAGCAAATTGAGAGATGATGTTAATATGATGGTGGGGGTAAGGCCCCCAGCCCCAGCATGTACCTGTGGTGGAGTGGGGGTGAGCAAATTGAGAGGTGATGTTAATATGATGGTGGGGGGAGGGCACGGCTCCCAGCCCCAGCATGTACCTGTGGTGGTGGGGGGGGGGTGAGCAAATAGTGAGATGATGTTAATATGATGGTGGACGGTACGGCCCTTAGCATGTACCTGTTGTGGGGGAAGGGATAGGTGTGTGTGTGTGTCAGCAAATAGTGAAATGAGCGTATTGAGATAGAGGGAGGTGAGATTTTGATTGACATAACTCATTTTCTGATATTATTATTTTAGAATTCTGAATTAATTATTATAATATTAATTTCTTGGTTTTATGGCATTTTCTAAAGTGTTTGCCTTAAACATGAGCTAGTAATGCTTTGACTATACCGGCTACGGTCGAAAGAGGGATCACGGTGCTTAGGGCAACGTATGTTTTCTCTATCCGATTCCCTGGGGGTCTGTGGGTGCAATTAGTGTCCCTTGGACCCCACAAAGTAAATACATGGCTAGTATCAGTAACTTCGGTACTTAACGTTATTGGATAATTTAGCTTCATATTACCGGTCATGGTGGATTTAAGAATTAAAAGGGGTATGTTCTACCCCTCCGCTTAATACAGTTATGCAACATTTCCATACATCAAACTCTGTTTGAAACATTTATTAAACACTAACAGCAGCATTGTCAAATTTTTAAACAAAAATTAATACAATACCAATTATTTTCAAATTTAATCATTTGAATCACACGCATCGTATTTACAGAATATCGCTACTACATCTTTCCTGAAAACAGTTTTTAAGTCTTAACGTGGTATAAAGAAAGATTAAAATAAATTTGTCAGAAGTGTTAACTTATTCATCATCTACAATTCTAAACTAAAAACATTTAATTTAACAAAGAAAAAAGGAATAGAAGACGATGTTGTATAGCATTGCTTTGTATCACCTCCTCTCATTATGTAATACAATACAACAAACCATATGAAAAGACCGCATATAACACGAGAATCTGAACACTACTATTACACTAAATTGTAATACAATACAACAAACCATATGAAGGCCTATATCTCTACATAACACACATAACAGTCATACCATCTAGAAAAGACCGCACATAACACGAGAATCTGAACTCTACCATTACACTAAATTGCACGGTCTACTAACGAGATAGCCAAAAGCACTTAAGATGCCAGAAAAGTCCTGGCATTACCGGTCATTACAGGAGAGACTGGACGCTGTTAGTACAACGCAACGATACCTTCCAAAATAGCCACACTCGGAACCAATCAACTTCATGGCTTGTAGAAAAAAAAATCCTCTGCCACTGACCGGTCTGTCTGTCTGTCTGTCTGTCTGTCTGTCTGTCTGTCTGTCTGTCTGTCTGTCTGTCTGTCTGTCTGTCTGTCTGTCTGTCTGTCTGTCTGTCTGTCTGTCTGTCTGTCTGTCTGTCTGTCTGTCTGTCTGTCTGTCTGTCTGTCTGTCTGTCTGTCTGTCTGTCTGTCTGTCTGTCTGTCTGTCTGTCTGTCTGTCTGTCTGTCTGTCTGTCTGTCTGTCTGTCTGTCTGTCTGTCTGTCTGTCTGTCTGTCTGTCTGTCTGTCTGTCTGTCTGTCTGTCTGTCTGTCTGTCTGTCTGTCTGTCTGTCTGTCTGTCTGTCTGTCTGTCTGTCTGTCTGTCTGTCTGTCTGTCTGTCTGTCTGTCTGTCTGTCTGTCTGTCTGTCTGTCTGTCTGTCTGTCTGTCTGTCTGTCTGTCTGTCTGTCTGTCTGTCTGTCTGTCTGTCTGTCTGTCTGTCTGTCTGTCTGTCTGTCTGTCTGTCTGTCTGTCTGTCTGTCTGTCTGTCTGTCTGTCTGTCTGTCTGTCTGTCTGTCTGTCTGTCTGTCTGTCTGTCTGTCTGTCTGTCTGTCTGTCTGTCACACTCTCGAAGAAAAAAAATGGTTTTCTCCTGGCTTACACCATCAGTCGTCTGGTGCGACCTCTGCCAAAATCCCAGACCGAACTCATTTGTCTTGTAGCAGACTTTCTACTCCATTGTACCAGTGGCATGAGGTTGTTCATGTATATTTCAAAAAAATCTATTTTTTATTTCAAAAAAATCTATTTTTCGTTAATTTTATTCGGCCTAGTCTTCTCTTGTTTTTGATGTTGTATAGCTTACAATGTATAATTATTATGTTTTTTAGTTATTTTAATTAGCAACTCATCTAAGATCATTTGGTTAACATTCATTGACGTGCCGCTCTTTATGAATATTCATCGGCACGGATTCTTTAATTTATCTTTTTTTAAATCTCGAACTTTGTTCTTTAATGTAAATATGTGAAGGGAGGATGGTTTATAAATAAAGGAAAGTTTGAGATTTGTGATGCGACATACATTATGTAGGCATACTTTTTAACACAGAATATGATGTGAATTGTTAAATTCGTGTAATTTTTGAGGGGTTAGAGGACTTTTGTGATGGTATTTTAGAAACGTCTGAATATGGCGATGAACGACTTAATATATGACCAACTAAGGATAAGACCAACTAAGGATAAGACCAACTAAGGATATGACCAACTAAGGATATGATCAACTAAGGATATGACCAACTAAGGATAAGACCAACTAAGGATATGATCAACTAAGGATAAGACCAACTAAGGATATGACCAACTAAGGATATGATCAACTAAGTATATGACCAAGTATATGACCAACTAAGGATATGACCAACTAAGGATAAGACCGACTAAGGATATGACCAACTAAGGATATGACCAACTAAGGATAAGACCGACTAAGGATAGGACTAAGGATAAGACCGGCTAAGGATATAACCAACTCAGGGTATGACCAATTAAAGCTATGACCGACCAAGCGTACGACTCTCTAATGTTAAAATCCTATCTACCCAAGTGTACGACTCTCTAATGTTAAAATCCTATCTACCCAAGTGTACGACTCTCTAATGTTAAAATCCTATCTACCCAAGTGTACGACTCTCTAATGTTAAAATCCTATCTACCCAAGTGTACGACTCTCTAATGTTAAAATCCTATCTACCCAAGTGTACGACTTTCTAATGTTAAAATCCTATCTACCCAAGCGTACTAGTCTCTAACGTTAAAATCCTATCTACCCAAGTGTACGCCTCTCTAACGTTAAAATCCTATCTACCCAAGTGTACGCCTCTCTACCGTTAAAATCCTATCTACCCAAGTGTACGACTCTCTAACGTTAAAATCCTATCTACCCAAGTGTACGCCTCTCTACCGTTAAAATCCCATCTACCCAAGTGTACGACTCTCTAACGTTAAAATCCTATCTACCCAAGTGTACGCCTCTCTACCGTTAAAATCCTATCTACCCAAGTGTACGCCTCTCTACCGTTAAAATCCCATCTACCCAAGTGTACGCCTCTCTACCGTTAAAATCCCATCTACCCAAGTGTACGACTCTCTAACGTTAAAATCCTATCTACCCAAGTGTACGACTCTCTAACGTTAAAATCCTCTCTACCCAAGTGTACGACTCTCTAACGTTAAAATCCTATCTACCCAAGTGTACGACTCTCTAACGTTAAAATCCTATCTACCCGCCTTACCTCCAGCCGTCCTTGGTGTCGGCACCGAAGATCCCGTCCACGACATTGGCCATGAACTGACCAAACGCGACCATGGCTATGTTGGTGGACACCAGGCTCCCCCGGGCGTAGGAAGGTGAGCACTCTGCTAGGTACATCGGTATGGTGGTGGACGTCAGACCTGCAACAGGAACAGCTACATGTAGCGTCAGGTTAACATGGTAGCCGCAACAGGAATAGCTACATGTAGTGTCAGGTTTTTAACATGGTAGCCGTAACAGGAACAGCTACATTTATCGTTACCTTATTAACTAGGTAGCCACAAAATTAAAGACATGTAATTACTAAACATATGGGACGGAGTGGCCGGCCTAGCGGTAGGTCTAAGAAACAGGTGAACTCTACTTCAATTGCTTCATAGACCGCCAGGTTCCAAAGGGAACTGTACTAATTACTAAATACAGGCGTTAGTGGTAACAGGTATTTTATAAGTTTTCTTATGGGGCCACAGTGTCTTTTACATATATCAGTAATGTATTCGTCTTTTGTTTAATTATCTAACAGATAAATATTTTAATCAAGACTTCTTTTAAGTATTCAGTAAAACTATATACGGTTTTCAAATACACAATGCAACACACATATATATGTGTATATATATATATATATATATATATATATATATATATATATATATATATATATATATATATATATATATATATATATATATATATATATATGATAAATAATATTACATTATATACAGACAATATATTTATATATAATTATATATATATATATATATATATATATATATATATATATATATATATATATATATATATATATATGATAAATAATATTACATTATATACAGACAATATATTTATATATAATTATATATATATATATATATATATATATATATATATATATATATATATATATATATATATATATATATATATATATATATATATATATATATATATATATATATATATATATATATATATATATATATATATATATAACGTAAATCGGTAATTTATTCGTCTTTTGTTTAATTATCTAACAGATAAATATTTTTGTCAAAATTTCTTTTAAGAATTCAGTAAAACTATTTACGCATTTCAAATACACAATGCGCAAACAAACACATACACATTACATGTGTATATATATATTTATTTATATAATTTGTTGTTGTGTGTATGCGTACATGTATGTGTGTATGTATAATTAAGTAATAACTTCTTATATCAAATGATGTCTTCCCCTCTATCAAAGAGTTTGTACAGAATAAAACAGAGGAGGATAAGACTGGAATCGCTGAGGGAAATCAAGTTGACACAGGCAATAGACCGGTTGACCGCTCGGCGCTGGCAGGACGTTGAGCAGTCGTCTTTTGCAGACGATACACACACAAAACGTCTGCCAACCAAGTTGCGTTCAGAACCGTCCCTTGGGAAATTACGTCCTAATTTCGGGACTTGAAAATTGCGTGGTTAATTAAAACTCTTTTGTGGGGTCTAGACGTAGTGGTATTGTTTGATAGAACTTGCAATGGCATATTAAGAATACTCGTTGATAAGGTTTGGAATTAAATTGCAACGTTATAACGAACCAAAATTTGTCATTGAACTTAACATTGTTCATAATTCATGTTGATTTCATTTCCTGCCTCTGTTACAAGAATAGAACAGAGAAAGAGCTTTACCATTTAATGGAAGAAATTGTATTATTCCCTTAAGTCGGAGAATAGAAATGAATCCATACAAATGATGTGAAAATAGTAGATTCCAATCAATCTAAATAATTGGGATAAAAAATAATATGGTTGTTGTCTCTTTCTTACACCGGGTAGTTTCAAGTTATGCTTTTGGCGATTCACATTTTGACTTTCTCGTATATGCGAAGTATAGAGAAAGTCTTGTTAGATAAAGTAAAAAAAAAAGAGGTAGATTACATGAAACAAAACAATATGCTCTAGATGTTGTGTTACCAGGCGGTGACTGGAAGGGGGGCGGTGCCGCCTGCTCGGGTAATACCATTTAGGGGGTGACACCAAATCTGAAAATGGTAAACTTTACAGTCAAAACTGTATTGTATTCATTGAAGTAGGAGAGAGGGGTGACACCAATCAAAAAACGCCAAATTCTTTGAAGGGGTAGAGGAAGACACCCTAAGTAACGGCACCGGGTGACATCAATCCTAGTTACGCCACTGGGTACACTAGGGCTGGTGAGTTGAGAACCTCTGCTCGCTTTATCAGCCTCAGACGCTGGGATGCTGATAAGCCACGAACAATGGTACCAAAACAAACAGAAATATGGTCTTATTATCGAGCGATGGTGTGGAAAAACACAGAAATGTGGTCTCTTTATCGAACGGCGGTACTATTTTATGACTAGGGAGTTCGTTTATTTTTTATGGATTTTTTTTTTGTCGTCAGAATAAACAGATATTATTGATTTAGATATTTTTACATTGGTGCAAAAAAAAAAAGGTGAATTCGTTAGATTGGCGTTAGGTCGGGTAAAATAAAATAAAAAAATAATATGAATAGTTGTTTAAAATATTTTCTTATTTATTCATTACAGAATCGGTTCACCGCTAAACACCCCTTGATAGCTACTCCCAATACTCTCTTCATCTCGTCACGTTCGTAAACATCAATAGCCGAAAGTTGTCTTGGGTAAATTAATGATTTGACGTCGGGGAGAGAGAAGGGCTTTTAAGGGGCTAGACTAGACCGGATACTTGGCCCTAGCTCATCGCTGAGTTTATACTTGGGGGCTTTTTTTTTTCTACTGGGGTAGGGCGGGGACTCACTTAATGGACGGCTAACACCATCAGTGACGTAAGACTTTGCCGTGTCAACTGTTTCCGATACCTATTTGTAGTTAGTGGGTTTCCCCGGTGCTGAAAGGGAGGGAATCGGTGTTTGACTATTGTGGAGAAAATGGAGAGGGGACTGGGTTTTTAAAACAATAAGTTTTAAATTCCTTATCATATTACCAGAACTGGGGGATTATAGGGCACCTTAAGCAGAATGCGTTGATTTTTATTATAAGCTTTTACTAAGGTCAAAATATTTGTGGGTTTGTTGTCGAATATTTATAACTCAATTTTGACCCAAAATTTCCAGATAAATTCCTTTTCGATGACAAGGCAAAAGTATATAATGTTTAATTAAATATGATATTAGATTAGTGATTAAAAATAAATTTGAAGATTACTACGTTTAATAACAAAAGGGAGATAACGGAGCAAAGTACTATTCTTTTTAGTAAAGACATTTGTCGCTCATAAAAAAAAAATTACATATTTTACCAACAAGCGATTTTTTAAAGACAAATACATAAAAATGTGCTGCGTGTTGTGAGGGTCGCATAAAATAACCACACAGCATATGTTTTGTATTTCTTGTTGATAAAAAGCTTTCAGAAACCATGATTTCTTGAGAATGTGTCTTTTTATAAGGGTGGGGAAGGGGGTGAGTGGAAATTACTAAATTACGTAATATCCTGGTCTGACTTTAGTAACGATTGTCAGGTCAGTCAACTTTTGTTTAGCCAGTCAACTTTTGTTAGGTCAGTCAACTTTTGTTAGGTCAGTCAACTTTCTCTATATCGACCAGGTTTTGCTATGTCAGCCAACTTTTTACTAGATCAGTCAACTTTTTACTAGATCAGTCAACTTTTGTTAGGTCAGTCAACGTTTAGCAAGCCCGCAACATATTAATGCTTCTATCTAAAACAAAAAGCGTTTATTTTCCAGGAACAAATATTGATTTCAAGGTAACTGACAACCCACTGACAGGTAAAGGACGGACTTTAGTGCAACATAATTGTATCGAGGTTTCCAATGACGCACTTTACCGGTCAGAATAAAAAGATCGTCAATAATTAATCGAATTCGATCTGCAGTTCAGAGCAGCAACGGACACCGTTTTAAATCAACCAACAGGTTTTTAATCCCTCGGCGACCTGATCTATTGTACCCCTCCTTCTACCCTTCCCCCGGAAAATATTTAGACAAAAATGTCTATTTAGAACAGAACAGCAAAAGCCTTACTTATTTGGTGTTAGACAATACTATTTGTATTTATATTCACTCTAAGCTGCTATTAGATCTATATATTAAATTTAACGAAAGCTAATTTTTTTACAGTAGGTAAACTGATGGGATATAACTTTTGCCAGGAATATGTATAAAGAATATCAGCCTATCAGAACAGTGTTAAATACTCAAGAAAAGTATTTCAAAAGATTCTGGTCATGTCGCTTGGGAAATTTTTTGGTTAAAAAATAGTGAAGTGTATATTGAAAACTTGATGATTTTTTTTAATTAACCTGATATTTTCTTATCACTTGAATCCCTCATTCTAACCCTAACTTTAACTCAGGTTTTAAGTCAAGTGGCAACTGTGGTGATATCGTGTTAAAAGATTTAATTAGGGTTAATTGATAAGACTTAAATGTTACGAAATCAGACTAATTATTTGCAAATAAAAATTGATACCAATGAACTTCAAGTTAATGTAATATTGTATTTTTTAGAAAACGCAAACTATTTGGTTAGACGTGTTAGGCATTTCTTCTCTTGTAAAACTAAGTCGCAAATATTACAATTTTTAGAAACCCCGCGATGTAAAAAAAAAAAACAATCTGTATCCTAAATGCCAATCAACACAAACAGAACGCCAAGCTGTATATCGATCTTCGTCTTCATTGGAAAATACGAGCAAATCATTTGTCCTGATGTTTCCGATAATGCGTTAGACATCGCTGAAATTTCAGCACATCGTCCGAAAAATCCTGTTCACAACCATCTACACGAGATGTAAAATTTTCAAACCATCAATCTCCTACTACGCCGTTCAATCCTAGATAGATTTTCTAGTTCCTTTTCAGGCCGGTGTCGATGTGCTCTAAGATCTCCCTATCTTTTCCCCTTTATCTCCTGTTTTATGGCTCGCTAGACTGAAAACGAGACAGGGCCGATATTTCAATGGCACTCGTGTGAGCCGTTGGCGCGTTCAGTATCGGTGCGGAATAGCGCGGAGCGAAAAATGCTTAAGAAAAGTGCAAGTAGGTTCAATGACAAATCCCATTCGTAATGTAGATTAGTTTAATTTCTAGTCCGCATTTATCATTTTTATTTGTTCATGAA